GACGAGGACCACTTTTTACGCCCAAGGTAACAAGAGTGGGAAATTATTGGCCAAAGCTCTGAAAGCTAAACAACAGAGATCCTTCATTGACAAGATCTCAGATGGCACAGGGAAGGCGTGTAACACCACCGATGACATAGCAAAGGCATTCAATGCTTTTTACTCAAATTTATACAACCTAGCCTCCCCAAGTGGCCAACTCCACAACCTAAGAGAATATGTCACTGCGCATCTCCCACGCACTATCCCGACCGCTGACTCGCACACACTAGACGAACCGTTCACACAGGAGGAGATACTAGCAACCATTAAGTCCCTACCGAAGGGGAAAAGCCCGGGCCCAGACGGGCTAACGACAAGGTACTACCAAACATTAACACAGGAGCTAACTCCTCATTTTCTACACACATTGAATGGCCTCAGCCATAACACGGTACTTCCACCCCCCATGCTCTGCGCCTCGATAACTATTATCCCTAAACTAGGCAAAGACCCCACAAAATGCGGCAGCTATAGGCCCATATCTCTTATAAACTTAGATCTCAAATTGATGGCGAAAATGATAGCGAACAGGCTTAAACCGTTATTGCCGAATTTGATCCATCCAGACCAGGCCGGCTTTGTGCCGGGACGTGAAGCCCGGGACAATACCACAAAAATTATAAATGTTATCCACGGAGCTACTATCAATAGAACACCGACACTTTTAATGGCAATCGATGCTGAAAAAGCATTTGATAGAGTTGACTGGACCTACCTGTTCACAGTCCTGGAGGTCCTGGGAATCGGCCCAAGACTCCTGAACTGGATACAGACTCTATACAGAGGCCCCTCGGCCAGAGTCAGAGTAAACGGCCAACTGTCCACACCCTTCCTTATCTCCAATGGCACACGCCAGGGCTGCCCTCTATCTCCCCTATTATTTGTCCTAGCCATGGAACCCTTCCTAACAGCAATCCGATCTAATACAGACATACACGGATTTGGGTACCACGGAGGCGAAGTGAAGGTCTCTGCATTTGAGGACGACGTTCTGTTCACACTCACGGACCCAATAAAAACCCTACCTCACATACAGTCGGAGATCCAAACCTTCGGGTCACTATCAAATTTTAAGATTAATGCGGATAAGTGCGAGATCCTAGGAATCTCTGTACCCGCAGCACTGCAAAATACCCTTCAACGAACCCACACATTTCCCTGGACACGGTCAGGCCTGACATATCTGGGGGTACGACTCACTACTAATATCACGGAACTATACAACATCAACTACCCTCCCCTCATAGAGGTCATTAAAAATGATTTGCACAGATGGGATCTACCCCATATCTCCCTAATGGGCAGGATCAGTGTCTTAAAAATGATGGTACTGCCAAAAATCCTATATATACTTCAGGCCTTGCCTATTCCACTCCCAGGGTCATTCTTTAAACGAATGAAGACTATCTTCGTTAAATATATTTGGGGAAACAAACCGGCAAGACTTGCCTTGACCACACTGACGTCCACCACGGACAGGGGGGGCCTGGGACTACCTCACATATATAAATATTACGTAGCAGTCTTACTTACCAGACTAAAAGAGTGGACAGACACAAGTAAGAAAAGATCGTGGTACGATCTAGAACAGAGCTTTGTACCGGTCCCTCTAACGACCCTCCCGTGGCAAACATGCCAACTCAAATACCTGACCCCCTCAAGACATCCACTCATTCACAACACGCTCACAATCTGGAGACGGCATAAAGATAAGTGGGGACTGTCCCCTGGAATCTCTAGATTTTTCCCCACGGCCTATAATCCTGACTTCCAGGGAGGACAGGGAGGGCCCTCACTTGCCCGCCTCACGGGAACGCATTCACCGGACATTACTGAACTACTGAGGATGACCCACCTCAATTTAAAGACGGACAAGTAACACAGAGACATGCCACCCTCCTGGACATTATGACCAGAGCACAGCTTAAGGGTTTCCTGACGAAACACGTCCTCCCCCTCTGGACCAAGAGAGGAGACACGCACTTTGAACTCCTTTGTGGCCCAACGGGCGACCGTAAACGGCCCCTATCTAAAATATACCGCATCCTCCAGTCGGCAGACAAAGAACCTACGACTCCCACATTCCAACAGAAATGGATGACAGACCTTCACATACATCTCTCGGACAAGGACTGGTCCAGTATTATGGAGACGGGTCTCAAAACCTCGATCAGTGTCACGCGCAAAGAGACCTTCTATAAACGGGTCACTAGGTGGTATAGAACACCAGCCGTGTTGCACGCTATATGCCCTTCACTTGACAATATCTGCTGGAGATGCTCAGCCAGTAGAGGGGATATGTTACACATCTGGTGGAGCTGCCGGGACATTCAGCGTTTCTGGCAACCCATACTCTCTGAGATTACAAAGATACTAGCACCAGCCACCCGCCTAGAGGCACCCCAAGTGCTGCTTGGCTGGCCACGTACCTTTAAGGAATCGCACAGGCAACACTTATTGCACATTTTGCTAGGGGAGGCAAACGCCCTGATCCCACTGTACTGGCGTAAACCTAGCATTCCGACCATGGAGCAATGGGTACAAAAGGTAGAGGGAGTGAGGGAGATAGAGGACATCCACTGGTCGTTAATGGGGAAACGTAATAGACACCTCAAGACTTGGGAACCCTGGACAGAGTTTTGGACTAATACCAGGACATAACCGCCCAAGAGGCAGACCCGGGCAAGACAGAACCCTTAGCTGTCAGATAAGAAGAGCGAGCCATGTAACGGCAAATAAGTCAATCACGGGAAGAGCTTAAAAGAAACTACATAACATCTACCCCGACCTAGGCAGGGTCAATAAAACCCCCCCCTTCCCCCTCCCCCACCCCATTGTTTGTTGTTTGTTGATTTCATGGTTACTCACACATACCACCATTCCCGAGACGGTAGGGGGACAACCTCTTACTATCCGACCTTCATTAAAGGGAAAATGTACACCCTGTGGTATGACCTTGATGCAACCCCGGTAAAGTTTTACGCCGGGATGTTTATGTCTATGTATGTGATGTGAAATGTACCATAGATGCACTGTTCATGTAACCCTGAAATGTGATCATTGAACACTCCCCTTCTTTTCTGTACCCCATTTCCTTGTACACGAGAAATAAAAACATTTAAAAAAAACTGGAAAAAATAGTCTAGACTCTGTATCCAACCCGTTTTGTCAAAGAATGACTTCTTTAGGAAGGGTCACAGTGTGGGAAGTGTGACAGTGGGAGGGGGAAGGTGACAGTGTAGGAAGTGGTGACAGTGGGAGGGGGAAGGTGACAGTGTGGGAGGTGGCGACAGTGGGGGGGGATGGTGACAGTGGGGGTGTTGGTGACGAAGTGGGAAGTGGTGACAATGGGGGGGATAATGACAGTAGGGGTGGTGGTGAGGGAAGTAGTGGTGACCGTGGGGGGGATGATGACAGCTGGAGGGCTGGTAGTGTGAGGGAATGGTGGCAGTGGGGGTGAGGGGGTATCATGTGGAGAGGCTGTGGCTTAGTTAAATAAAAAATTTTTTGTAATATGTAGGGGTAGGTAAACAATCCACCAGAGCCTCCCTGTCTGAAGCTCCGCCAGGTGCAGAGCTGCTGACCATGAAGTAGAGATCTTGCGATCTCCGGCACTTGATATGTCATAGCATTGCCGTATTAACCCATGGCAACGCTGTGTTTTTCTGGAGATTGCGAGGTCTCTATTCCATGGTCTGCAGCTCTGCACATGGCAGAGCTGCAGACTGGAGGCAGTGGCAGACCCACCTGCGGTTACAACGGAGGGGCCCTACATACAGGGCAAGCCACCGGGCCCCTCCTGGTGTCGGACCGAGGGCCGATACCTCTGTCAGCCAGGTTAATCACCGGTTCAGTGAACTTGTTACATTTTAGTATATCGGCTGAATCCCACCACTGATTACAGCCCATTGTAATGATGCCAGGTGTACCCTGAACTAGTTTCCTGGTAATAGGGCAAATAATTTGCAAATCATTGGTTTGTCCTCTTACCTGGATCTCTGCCAGGTGCATACTGACCACGTCCAGCTTCTGAAGAATTGCAGAAGCAGGAAGTCAATCTTGCATCAGTGTTAGCTGACCATTTTAAGCCAATAAATGCAATTTTCTGTGCATTGGAATATACAAAGAATTGACATTTAGCAGCCTGGAACTCTAGTTCTGGGCTGGCTGATTACTCCCCAATGACGCAGCAGCAAAGCTGTTAATGTTAAACTCTGTATGTGCAGAGAAAGCAGACGCCAAACACCTTTTCTACATTTATCTATTACTGGCATTTATAAAGCACCAACATATTCCTCTGCGTGTAGAACTGAGAAAAAGACAAACACAATAAAAACAGACCGATACAATAGTTAGACGACCCTGCTCGTGAGCTTACAATCTAAAGGGTAAAATGGGAAGATGAGACAAGAGGTAGCAGAGGAATGTGCATGTGATGGCAGAGAAAATTAAAAGTATAACTGCAGCAGCTTATAGCATGTGAAAGAGATGATTGACTTTGGTTTCACACAGCTGTAGGTGGATGCTAGAATGAACTTAGAATGAACCAGGATGGGCGGGTAGAGCCGAATAAAATTACCATGACCACTTCAAATCACTGAAGTGGTAATGCCACTAGGAGTAACCCTTTAATGGGAGTTACACTCCTGGGCAGCAACTGCCACAATGCAGTCCCTCTCCTGAATGTGTCAAAAATATAAGAAGTGTAAATCTCACCAATCCCAGGCAGACTGGACATGTATGTCCTGGTGCTGCCCTAAGATTAAACAAGCCTAAACCCTAATAAAATAAAACACTAATGTTTAATAAATAAATATATATATATATATATATATATATATGCACACACACACAGACATATGTGCATGTTTCATCTTCAACTATGTTACTGGCTCCCAACACACTAAGGAACTCAGCAATAGTCAGATTTTCACTGCCCCCCACCCCCTTCTGCAGGCAGGGACAGTGTCTGATAGAAGCAAAGTTCCTGTTTCCTGCCGGAATGTTTCAACCCTCCCACCGCAGCTTAAACCCCACCGGAACTAAACATGTCGAGTCTGCACAAGACCAAGTGAGTGAGCTCTGGGGGTCTGGGACTGGGGGGGGGGGATTTAACTGTTAGAGAATTGTGCTGTCCCTTTAACATCTTTCTAATATTGCAAGTATGAAAGAAATACATAATATAGCTTTAGTTATAGAGTGCTGTTAGCAAGGGTTAATTCATTGTATCACTGTGTCATTAGTGGGCTGGGGGAATAATTATATATCATTACAGTAATCTGCAGTGTCAGGTTGGGGGTATATTACTACCAGCATTATATATTGTTTGTAGGAGGTGTGGGTTAAAATTGAATCTAGAATTTGGAATGTTTGTGGATGGTAGTAGGTTGCTAAGTAAATAGATATTTTGTAGTTAGTATGTATCCAATGCCAGGCTGGTTGGTTGATCTGTTCATTTTGTAGAATTGTGAGAGATTCTGTTTAACCCTTTAAGAACATTGCAGAAGTTGATAATGAAAGGGTTACACAGTGAGTATAAAATGAAAAAAAGTCTGTAATCATTTTGATATGATCATTTGCAATGTATAATCAGGCCAACTAATCCCACAGCTCCGAAGAATTTAATTGAGGTGATGATTTATTTTTAGAGCATACATTGTATATTAAGATATCTCATTATAAGATTAATTGAGAACCCTCAATTAATCAATGGATTGGCAGTCTTACCACTTTAGCACTGTTACACACATAGGGTTATTCACTAGACTCTGAATTGTAGCTAATTAAAGGAGCAATTTGTGTAGTCTAAGTTTGACCAAATACATTTCCTGTTAATCAATACCAGAGCTATTCAGTTCTCCTTTTCAATCTTACCTGTGTGGGTAAAACCAGGAATTTATTTCGGATGAACCAGCTCAAATACATTTTTGAGGAAGTTTACTGGTCATACTCACAATTCTGTAATTGTTCAATAATGGGATAAGTAAACATAATCTTAAATATACTAGGATGTGACCGTTCCCCTTTTATCTGAGCTCTCAACATATCCTTTAAAGGGAAACTACAGGAATCAAGACCAGTTAATCTCAATGAAGTGGTCTGGGTGCCATGTCCTTGTCTGTTTAACCCTGCAACTGAGCACATGTGCCGTTCTGTAGGAAGGGCAATGTTTCCATTGCAGGGTTAACATGCATCACGCGGCAGTCTTCCTGAGAACCAATAGTTGCTTCCGCACTGGTAGTTAAACTCAGCTCTCAAAGTGACCATTTAGCATCGTGTTTTGCCATGCATGCGCACTGGCTTGCCAATGTTTCCCTAAGGTGAAAATTTGGATTGCCAGAGATCATCTACAGTGATGATCTCAGATAAAGAGGCGGAGCAACAGGAAGGAGGCCAGTAATACTTGCCCTTCAAACCCTCACACTGTGGAACCTAAATAGGTTTTAGGACACTATAGTGTTAGGAATACACATTTACATTCCAGTTGCTCTACTATTCCTTTATCCCCTGTTCACCAGTTGCTTATTTCATCTTATGATATGAATAAAACCACTTCTTTAGATACTAGAGGCCTTTATATCCCTTCTACTGAATAACTCCATATTTTACTTTTTTGATAATGGATCTAGTCAAAAGCATTGGGGACTTTTGTCTTGTTTCTCTCTCTCTCTAGCCCCCCCTCTCCCTCTGCAGTTGAAAGCATGGGAATGAAGGGAGACAGACAGATTTAGGAGTTCCCCATAAGCTATGCAAAGTGCATACATTATTACAGCGAGCATGTCAATGTAACGTGCATTGTGTAGGCGATGAATGAATAATGGGTTTGTGTAAGTCACATTTACTAGAATAGAGTTGTGTGGTATCTTCTGACCACACTATGGAATAAAAACTATCTCAGTTTGCAAGTGTGAGTCACACCAGGCTCTCCCAATAAATTATTTACAGTGTAGACTTGAGATAATAACAAAGTCTAACTTGTACTGCTTTCTTTAAAGGAACACCCTTTTGATATGTTCCTTCGAAATTTGCATTACTGCCCTCTGTTTTTTTTGTAACTAAACACACTATAAAAACTTAAATACTGGAACAGACTCCTCACTGCAGACAATCTTCTTCCAATGGAGTCCTCAATTTTGGTGACTTTTGTCCATTTAAAAGTCATCACAACACACACTAACAACGCAAAGCGCACGTGTGGCCTTTGCTGTGTTCCAACAATTCACTTCTTCTCACAAGGAAGTATTGAATTTCTACAAGTATCATTAGCTGCGGTCGATGATGTCATGCTCTGCGCGATGATGAAAGTTGTTCGAAATTCAAAGGAGGAGAAAGCACCTCAAGTGGCTGCCTGGTTAACTAGAAGGGTGTTTTGGCCAAATATAGACATTGACGTTTTTCAATGTACGAGAAAAGAGACGGCATGTATGCACCAAAACCACTTCATTAAGATGCCAGATGCCACCATGTGTACCAGTATCTGTATGAACACTGTTAATGCGACATGTCTATTTAATTTCTCCAGGATTGCAGAGTTCCAGAGTATTCTCAGTGAGCCGCTGATTAATCTATCTGTGCTACGAAAGCTCTGTTTTAATGGTAAGCCATGCTTTGTCTTGCCGCTGCACTTTGCCTGTGCTTCTAAACTTTGGTCTGCATGCAAAAATAAATAAATAAAACTCTTAGAAATAATTACCTTGTCAAGATGTTTACAGTTTAAAAGGTGATGCTCGAAAAAGTAATTCATTATTAAAACTGGAGAATTTTTACAGATCTAAAAAACTTAAGAAAAAAATGTAAAATTTTACTTAAAATCTACACTGAATTGTAAGTAATTGAAAACGAAATTGCTAAATTAATGCATAAATAGCTAATTTGTAGAAAAAAAAAAATCTTGCTGCAATACTATTTTCTTAGTAACTTGTTTTTTAGTTTGCTACAGGTCAGTGTTACCTTCGGCACTACCGATGTTCTGGACTTCATCTCCCCTAATGCTCTGCCAGCATTCTGGATGTGAGAACATTAAGGGAGATGTAGTCCACATCATCTGGAATGTTGAAAGTTGCCTATCCATTAATATTCGTTTTGGTACCATATTAGGTTTACTTATTTGTCAGTAGCCTCAATATACTGGACTTTGCTTTCCTAAGACTGTTTACGATGCAATTACCGTATCATAGCTTGTTTCAAAGTAATATAATATTATAATATGTGCATATTTTAAACGATTTTCTGATTGCAAATGGTTAACCATTTTATTATTATTTTATGACTTTTTTTTTTTTTTTTTATAAACATTAGTCAGACCATGTGGGTGTAATTGGTGGAAGTGATTTATGTTTTTTATAGTATATGTAACAATTCCAGCTTTATATCTTAACAGGAATCCCATTTGAAGGAGGTATTCGATGCTTATGTTGGAAGGTGGGTGTCACAATAACTCTTTCAAATGTGCACAATGTAAATTTTTAGTCTTCTCTAAAATATATATCCTTTTCTTTCTTCTTTTTTCTAGATATTACTAAACTATCTCCCCACAGATCGAACACTATGGGACTCGGTGCTGGCGAAACAGAGGTGAGAAGTCTAATGTTTTGGAGGAAGATTATTCTATAAAAATGTATGGTTAAATGTCCATCTCTGCTTCTTCTTGAAGAAAGAAGATTTCACCTACAGCAGAGGAAAGAGTTATTTTCAGTAGGAACACTAAGAATTTGATATTCTCTGCCTATAGCGATTGGTTTTTATCAGATTTGGAGATGTCTTGGAACTGCTGATTGTGTCTTTCGGGTTATGAATGATTTATTTTTTATGTATTTTTTTCATTTTTGCAGCATGTTGCAAATAGTTTTAAATAGTGATTTGTCCTTTTTTTTTTTTACTTATTTTTTTTTTTTTTCACTTTTGTGGATCTTTTAGCCTGTAACTTAGGGCCTGCAATCAAGCGATATAAATGTACATTGCTGACCGTTATCTCAACAATCACTCTTTCAATGTTTTCTTTAATCACCCACAAAAATATTCTTCACGTGTCCCTACTCTGGTTTAGGTATCCGCTTAAAGCGTTGCTATCACATCTTGAGTTTTTGCATAACCGCTACTATGGAGGCACTGAGGTGGGGACAGGGGAAGAGAGGTATACTTACTTGAAGCACCTCCTCATTGGTGACACCATTCTAGACTTCACCTACACGTTCAGCTCCTGGTAGATGAAGATTCCAGGCTAATCACTCCACACTCTCATTGCCTATGAGAGAGTCCAAAACAGATTCCCGTGCGCATGCTCGGTGATAAGCCATAAGCATGGTTTGTGCATCATGCAAGACGATATCTGTTCCCTAAAAGATGTCATGAGTGGCAAGTTGTAGGAAACCATATTGTAGGCAAGCGTGATTTCAATAGAACCTTTTTCCACATTTTATAACAAATCAAATATGGGCTTAAAACAAAGTAGTTTTATGTGTATCTTCTGATTGAGTTGAAATTTTAATGAAATTCCAAAGCGATTTTGTAAATTTTTTTATTTTTTTGTCCTCTGTTTCTCACAGTCCTGATTGTTCCGCCCCATTCTCCCAACCATGTTTTCCCTTTCTGGTGCTACTTCCTGTCAGTTTCCGGTTCGAGTTATGATATCTCGAGGTTCCGAACTGACTCGTCTCTATTTCCTCTTTGGCAATATATTCAGTTATTTACCTTTTAGATGCTGATGTTGCATAAATCGCACTCTCTGATTGTTTCTGCGGCCTCTGTTTTCTGTCCCCTCTATATAAATTGAGCAATTAATAAAAAAATAAAATAAAGGTTTTAAAAGTGACGCAGTTAATGGCTTATTCAATAAATGAGAAATTGTCACTAAGTTTTCTCCAACACTGCTAGTCACTGTTTTTTTCAAAAATGTTTTTAAAGGGACAATCTAAAGACCAAAGTAACTTCAGCTTAATTAATTGGTTTTGGTGTATAGATCATGCACCTGCAGTGTCACTGCTCAATTCTCTGCCATTTAGGAGTTAACTCACTTTGTTTATGCAGTCCTAGTCATAACTGTTGAGACTCCTACAGATTCCCTGCACACTTCCAGAAAACAACCTTAATTTGCTTAGTTTCCCTTATTGCAAGAGTGTATAGAATCTCTTACCTCCTGCTCTGTTGATTACCAGCAACAGCCTCTTGTGTGATTAAAGTTCAATTAACAGAGCAGGAGAGATAATAATGTCTAAATTAAACACATTAGGCTGTTGCGTCACAGTGGAGAACTGTGGCGTGGGCTGCATAAGCAAAGGGTTCCAACTCCTAAATGGCAGAGAATTGAACAGTCAGACTGCAGGGGCATGTTCTATACTCCAAAACTGCTTCATTAAGCTAAAGTTGTTTTGGTGCATATAGTGTCCCTTTAAATATTGCATTCCAATATAACGCCCACAGGGTGAAAATACTTGCTGTTCATGTTAGATAAAAAAAAGAGGAAGGATTTTTAAGATCAAGATAAAACAAAAAATTGTAACTGATAACAAGTTACACTGCGATAACCAGTACTGGTTCCATTTTATACAACTTTTTTTTTTAAATTCTGTACTGGAACTGCGCAGATATTATTTCCACTAGATTATAAGACTCTTTCTCACTGCAAAACTGAATTTTATTTTATTTTAAATATAATAGATTTTTACATCCGTAGAGTTCATTTATTTCAAAGCAGATCTGCTGTTTTGTTTGTTTAATCTTTTCATTATGCAATTCTTGTAATTCCATTTATGTTTCCTTTGTTTGAGGCCATCTCACAATTCACAGTTAAGTCAAGAATTGTCAGTAGTTCAAAATGAAGTTCAAATTAAGGAACGACTGTATTCCTAAGTCTGTCCTATCTTTTCCAGTTAAAACCTGAAAAAAAAAAAAAAGTTTTTATGTTTACCTGCCTTTATTTTAGCGTTGAGGATCCCATGGCACTGCCATCCACTCCGCCTCCCGTGACATCATTCGGCATTTAAGCCAGTGGCCAATCCAATGCTCCGCACAGAGGAGTGTTGAAACTGATGTGCATGCATATTTGAATGCTCCTCACGGAAAAGCATTGCGACAGCCACTAGACCAGACGTTAACCCTTTTAACCTTGCAATGTATATTTTGGCTATTTTGTCAGTGACCGTTCTCACTACAGTGAATAGCCATGTGAGTGTAACTTGAATGCTGGTTGACCTCAGACACCTGTCTCATTTCACCCAGGGTAAGACAACCAGCATTCTGATATTGCAGTCAAAACATAGAGAAGCTCATTAGGTTTCGTAGGTTAGGTTGCATATTTTTTTGCCTTGTTTTGTTTTTTAGACCACCAGGCTTCTGCACGTGTGAATTCATAGTGGGTTTTGAATTCTCGCCCAAAGTATCCCAATTAGAAAAGTCTCCAGGTCATTTTGTTATTTTACATTCACATCGAATTCCAGAAAATTCCCACTTAAGTGACTATCCAAATGAGGTTTATGCAATAAATTTGAATCAAATTGAAATCCAGATGGCAAAATTTAGGCTGGCATAACTGATGTCTATTTGAGCCTACATTTTGCGATATTTCTTTTCAGTACAATTTAAGTTTTCTTAAAACATTTAAAAAAAAATTTTTTTATAATGCTTTAATTTTATTGCAAATGATCATTACAATGATTGTATTGCCACAACAGCATGAACAAGCCTTATTCCATCATACATTTTGAAACAATAACATGGCAAGCGAAGGGGCTGCACTTATTAAAAATATAACATGAAAGAACAGTTGAGCATAAACATGTGCAGCGAAGTTTGTCAGAGGTAGCATAACATGTCATAAGGAACACCGCATTTGTTGAAGAAAATAATTAAATATCATCAACACAATTCTATGTGGGTGGTCAAAGAATAAATTATTTACGCTATAACATAGAACCCCCTCAGCTGGTCCACGGGGATGCGGTGGGAGGGCGAGAGAGGGCCCAAGTGAGACCGGAACCAAATCTTGGCTGAGGATCGCTGCGTCCTCTGCTTTCAATCTGCCTTGTAGGCCTCAGGACAGTCTGGCACGGGCACAGACTCTCAGAACCTGGGTCAGGTACTCAGCAGGTATTCCTCTAGTAGTTATAGTTCTATCAGGCTAAAGAGAGGGTAACTTTGTTGGCAAATCAACTGTATTACAGGCTAAATCCGAGGAGCCCCAGCCATGTGCGACCTACTCGGTTGGCTGCAAGGCCCTGCCCTCCCTCCTCCCCCCCCCAAGTTATTATTTTTTATTTTATTTTTTTAATACCGATGTGTTTACCAGGAATAGAATCACTGTGACTCCAAATGTTGTATGAAGGAACTTTGTTGCGTTTTGTTGATGGGTTTTATGTGATTCCTGATTCTTCTTCTTTCAGAGACACCTACTCCCACTTCTTGAAAGAGATGATCATCCAACCTGGAATCGCCAAAGTCAAGTTTGGAATATCCAGAGAGGATGTAACTTTAGAAGATCACGTAAGTGGAGATCTGTGTGGCCACACTCTTTCCTCCACGGTTATTTTTGTATAAAGTTTGAGTTGGTTGTCCAGAGAGTTATGTAAAAGATCTTTCACATCCTTTTGGAAATTACTCCCCTCTGAGTCCAGGCTTTTAGTAACAGGACAGGAGAGATGAATTAAATGGAATCCCACCAGATATTCCAGCCCCTATCAATGTACCTTTCAACTCTGTAGCATTACTAACTGCTGAAGTTTAAGATTTTCTGCAAGAGTTTACAGACCTAATTATGAACTTATCATAACTTGCTGATTAGTAAAATAAACCCATCAGTGTGTCTATACCTTAAATAGTTTGACACTGCTCAGAAATCCTCTTCTAGATTCTTTTAATTGTGGATGTTCATCCCCTGGCAGCTCTTTTATTCATCAAATAGTATGAATGGAGTGGCTGAATAATTTGTGAGAAGCCATACCTGAGGCATCATAAACATATTCTTCTTAATTTTGTGAATTGGGTATAACAGAACATTTGCACAAATAATTAAAATCACATATGTGAACCTGCAGCTCAAGAAAACCGTGAAAGCTGTTGATGAGAGGTAGGAACGGCAAGCTGTATAAAAAATGGACCTCAAAGTAGGAAGTGTAACATTTTCCTTTGACATCAAAATGGATAAGGGTCAGGTGTATAGCTGCCTAATTTTTGCAAATTGCTGCAGTTACAAACTTATGTGGACAGTAGACCTTCTTGCTTCATAATCTATTTAATTGTGCTATTGAGAGTGCTTACAGATTCATGTTAAATGAACACCATAGGCACCAAAACAACTTAATGGAGCAGTTTTGGTGTATAGATCATGCTCCATGCAGTCTCACTGCTCAAGTCGCTGCCATTTAGGAGTTAAATCCATTTTCTCTCTGTTACAGCAGCCCTAGCCACACCTGATACAGGCTGTATGAAAAAAATTGTTTAATTTTCAATCCAATGTTTACTTGCTTTAGAAGCTTTAATCTCCTGCTCTGTAAATTGAACTTTAAAGGAACACTATAGGGTCAGGAACACAAACCTGTATTCCTGGCCCTATAGTGTTTAAACCACAATCTAGCCCCCCCTGGCCCCTCTTGCCTGCCTAAATATAGTAAATTCTTACTTGTATTCAAGTTTGGAGCTGCTAGCTCTGGCCCTGACCTGCCTCTGTCTGCTGACATCATCCCAAGTGGTGGCCTGAGCCAATCACCATCGGATTGGCTGACACTGTGAAGGAGGCAGATCAGGGGCAGAGCCAGCACAATTCAAACAGTCCTGGCCAATCAGCATCTGCTCATAGAGATGTATTGAATCAATGCATCTCTATGAAGAAAGTTCAGTGTCTGCATGCAGAGGGTGGAGATACTGAATGTGTGGATGCATTTTAGGCAGCAATGACCCAGGAAGGATCTCTAGCAGCCATCTGAGCAGTGGCCAGCGACGTTATCACTAGGCTGTAATGTAAACACTGCATTTTCTCTGAAAAGACCGTGTTTACAGCAAAAAGCTTGAAGGGAATGATTCTACTCACCAGAACACATGCAATAAACTGTAGTTGTTCTGGGGACTATAGTGTCCCTTTAATTACATACAGGAGGCTCCTGCAGGGTTTGGACGGCTATTAACAGAGCAGAAGATAAGAAATTCTAAATTAAACAGAATGTGCAATATAGGAAGTTTAAACATTAAATCTCTCTTTCCAGGGAGTGTTTAGGAAGGCTATTCAAGTCACATGCAGGAAGGTGTGACTAAGGCTGTGTAAACTCCTACATGGCAGAGAATTGAGCAGTGGGACTGAAGGGGTTATGATCTGTACAGCAAAACTGATCCATTAAGCTAAAGTTGTTTTGGTATCTATAGTGTCCTTTTAAATAAGATTATGTAATATCGCTGATGGATTGAGAAGGAGACCAATCTCCCTAACCTTTGGTAAAATCGAATATGCTATAATAAAATGTAATGCTATAATAAAAAATGCATGTTTGCCTGTACTATTTACTACTGTATTTCTTTTCTGTTTTTTCCCTTTTTTAAATCTCTCCCAGCCGCTGAATCCAAACCCAGACAGTCGATGGAACACATATTTTAAAGATAATGAAGTGTTGCTACAGATAGACAAGGATGTCAGGTAACTTTTTTAGGGTGATCATTTTCTGTAAAAAGAATGTAGCCAGACCAAAGGGACATAACCTAAAGTTCGCAAGAGGGAAACTTCTAAAAAAAAAAATAAAAAAAAAAAAAAAAAATATTTTTTTTCATTTATTTACTTTTGTTGATGCATAGGTTAGCCTTTCAGCAGAGTTGGTAGAGACTAAAATAATGAAAGAAGATAAAAAATGCTTGGGATAGACGGTCTTTTATGACTTAAGGGACTCCCAGCCTATCACCAGCAACAAATTTAACAATTCCTTATTAGTATGGCAGCCTTGAGACCCTCCTTTGGTGTCAAGCTGTTCTAAAACCATTTCAAACCTTAATGTAAAACAACGCAGAGGGACTCTAAGCTCAAAAACAACTTTGTCAAGTCCCTTTTAAAGCCTTAGATTTTAGATGGTAAATGACAACCTAAATTCTTGTTATTTATTAAGTGCCAGCATATCTGTCATTGCTGTACAATAGGTTAAAGAAATATTCAAGTATTTGAGCCAAAACAGGTTTGACATACGAGGGCCATGCTTAAGTCTTCTTACATTCTGAGGTATGTATAACACAAAAGGTCTATGTGAAGGTGCAGCATACTCAAGCTGATTGTTAATAATAATATAGAGATATAAATAGTAGTATTTGACAGATGTAAAAGAGAAATGACAGAGTTTGGCTCTATTTCCGTGGCAGCCCCAGGAGGCATTTAAACCCTGCAGTGTCAACACTGCCATTCTATGTTGAAAGAATGCACCATAGAGTGTAAGTATCCAGGAGCTAAAGTAGATATAAATGTATGTAGAGATAGGTATAACCTTAAACAAAGAAATTAGTGGTGGAATAAAAGACAGGAAATCACTTAAATAAATCACTTAAATAAATCAATGGTATTAAGCTTAATAAATATTCAGTCCAATAAAAGAGTCCAGAATTCAACTGATAGTCCCAAATTGTTGAAGATTACATTGGAATCCACATTGCGTATTAGATCATAAGGACGGTATTTATAGCATAAGTAACCTAGACCCTGCTTGCGAGAACAACGCAGGGTTAATAGTACTTATGACATTAAAAGGAACACTATAGTCACCTAAATTACTTTAGCTAAATAAAGCAGTTTTAGTGTATAGATCATTCCCCTGCAATTTCACTGCTCAATTCACTGTCATTTAGGAGTTAAATCACTTTGTTTCTGTTTATGCAGCCCTAGCCACACCTCCCCTGGCTATGATTGACAGAGCCTGCATGAAAAAAAAAAAACTGGTTTCACTTTCACTGGACTGCAGGTTTTATCGTTATTTTTATTTGGTTTCTAATGGACTACCTTCCTACCTCTTATCATTATTTTTTATATTTGAATGTATTTTTAGTACCATAAATTCACTGTTTTATCAATCAACCCCTTTTTTCAAGTGACTACTCTTCAAAGAACTGTGATAATATCACTAATTCAAGCTTGTGAGCAATGAGTTCCTTGTACTTATTTGCTCTGGTTGATATACCTGGACTATTACTTCATCTTTTATCCATAAAAGTATATTAAGTCATAAGTACTATTAACCCTGCGTTGTTCTCGCAAGCAGGGTCTAGGTTACTTATGCTATAAATACCGTCCTTATGATCTAATACGCAATGTGGATTCCAATGTAATCTTCAACAATTTGGGACTATCAGCTGAATTCTGGACTCTTTTATTGGACTGAATATTTATTAAGCTTAATACCATTGATTTATTTAAGTGATTTATTTATGTGATTTCCTGTCTTTTATTCCACAACTAATTTCTTTGTTTAAGGTTATACCTATCTCTACATACATATATATCTACTTTAGCTCCTGGATACTTACACTCTATGGTGCATTCTTTCAACTATTTTTATAGGATTGGGAGAAATCCTTTTTTCCAGTTTCAGAGCTAATAGATTTATTGTTCTTATTCCCTCTAAACCTTCCGCTGTATTCACTTTTGTGGATACCGGAATTCTGTAACTGCCATTCTATGTAACTGCAATGATTTACACTGCAGGGTTAACAGGTGGACATGGCACCCTGACCACTTTATTAAGATGAAGTGGTCTGGGTGCCCATAGTGTCCCTTTAATGATAACAATGACAGAAGTGTTGAGTAAGAGAGAAATTATCTAGCTATTTCATATGCTTAAGAAATATTTTGTTTTTTTTCAGACACAGGTCATTGGCCAAACAGAGGAACAGAATAGTGAAGTCCATAGCAGGCAGACACTAAGATTTTAGATAAATATTATACTTGGCATCTCTAGTTAACTACTGCTTAATCTTTACAAAAAGGTCAGTGAATCAGAGAATCTTCTATGTAAGCATTATCTTAAAGAGATACAGTAAGTACCACAACCACTGCAGTGCACTGTAGTTGTTATGGTGCCAGGAGTATCCTGGTGCTTTCTGATGATAAACCGTCACTTTAAGAACTGTGTGACACTTAACTGGTGTCTAACTGTCTGGTGCCTGCAGTTTTTCTGAGCTGGTTTGGTTTTTTCTTCTGCATTATCCTAAAAAGTTGGAAGATTATTCATTTGATGAGACCGTCAGCTGACATTCTTAGCCTGGGAATATTACCGCAGTGTGGTATGGTAATGCGTAAGAATGAACTGCTGCTTTGTCATATCTGCCCATGGGTGGCCAACAGAGACAGATAAGTGACAAACCATTCTTGGACAGTTTTACAGTTTACCATTAGTCCATGCCAGGTGAGTCTTGGAACCATAACTACCACAATGCACATTGCTGGTTAGGGGGCAAAGAGTATTCATTTAATAAATATATTTACAGCCATTTTCATACACCAATGTTCATACAACTGGTTTTAGAAGATATGTGAAGGAAGTTGGAAGGTATAAAACTATTCAATACCTCCTTATTAATCTAGACATTTGTACATCGCTGACAAATATTTGACATTAAATAGACTGGTAAAAAAAGATTGTTTTGTTAGGACTTTGATTTTTATAAACCAGGCTTCGAGTATTTGTATCTCATCAAATGTTGGTTCAAAGCGGATAATAAACGGTCCACTAATGGATGTCCCCTAGACAGCCAAGGTTACAGTAGTGTTTTAGGGGATTGGCAAATGGTTTGTGCTTACTGCAATCTTTAAAGGGACATTCTAAGCACCCGAACCATTACAGCTTAATGTAGCGGTTCTGGGAAAAACAGACTGTCCCTGCAGACTCAGCATTGTAAGCACTGCGTTTTCTCTTTGAGGATGTGCTGATTGGCAAATTAATAAAAGCTTTATTTTGCTTAAAAAGGGGGGCCCTGAATCTAAATAGTTAATATAACACTCAAGCATTATGTATACATGTTTATATTCCGAACACTGGAGTGTTCCATTAAAATGTAGATTTTAATATCTTTGTCATTAAATCCATATACCATAGAACAGCTGCAGGCAAGCCTTGAGGGGGGCATACCTTCTGTAGTTTATTTTTTCTAATAGATTAACCCTTGTTAGTACTGCACATAATGTAATAATTTGAACATACTTTGCTGAAATTACTATAATATTTTATTGGTTACCTCCCCAATGTACAGCTCCACCATTTCCCATACAAAGGGTATAGAAAAAAACCTCATACGTTCAGAGATAATTAGGGATGATGGGGAATGGTGGACATATTTTCAGTAAGCTGAAACGATCACTTCAAATGCAAGGTCTACCAGAAGACAAGTTAACTACCTTTTGGGTCTACAGTTAGCCATGTTCCTATATTTGTATCTTGCAAATAGCAATGTTCTGAGATCTGCTCCCGTCCGTCGTGGCACTATGTTTATAATCTAGCGATGCAGAATCTATTAGTGCTGTATAATCTTCATTGTAATGCTGACCTGGAATGGTGAATATTTATCTTATGAAATGACTGACCCATAACTGGTGTGTTTGTATTTAGTGCATTCTCGTGCAGTTACTTCCATCTTTCTCTTTTCTGATATACCAGGAGGCTTTGCCCTGATTTTTCATTTTTCATCAAGGCTACGGATTATCCCTGTCTTTTGATAATGGATCCCGAGAATGAATACGAGACTTTGCGAAAGCGCGTGGAACAGACCACGCTGAAGTCTCAGACTGTGGCACGGAACAGGAGTGGCCTCACTAATGTAAGGAAGGGCTTTGTGTGTGTGTGTGTGTGTGTGTGTATAAACCATGGAAATTAGAAGGAATACAGGAGCACTGCAAAATCTTTAATGCATTAAAAAAGCTTAAATGATCACTATAGTGCCAGGAAAACATACTTGTTTTCCTGGCACTATAGTGCCCTGAGGGTGCCCCCTCCTGCCGGGCTCTAGGGGAAGGAAGGGGTTAAACTTACCTCTTTCTCCAGCGCCGGGCGGGGGACTCTCCTCCTCTCCGCCTCCTCGGCTGAATGCCTTCAGCCAGTCTCATAGGAAAGCATTCACAATGAGACAGCCACTAGAGGCTGGATTAACCCTAATATAAACTGCTATGTTTATAGAAAAAAGGGTTAATGCTAGATGGACCGGGCACCCAGACCACTTCATTAAGCTGAAGTGGTCTGGGTGCCTATAGTGGTCCTTTAAATGTAAATTAACAAAGAAATACTAGAACACATTGGCATGTTTTGAAGTCGTAGTGTGGACTATAATGAAATATTATTAAATATGAATTTACTGAAAAGGATATACACACCTCCTGTCAATGTTCACAATTGCAAATAGAAATTCAGCCCTGACAGCAGTAGCATTTTAGCAATGGCTGCATGTCTGCTACCATGTAGAATAGTAATAAATAATAGAACTGAGAACAGGCAGTTGAAAGTTCTATAGACATATACATGTCAGCCTAATTCACACTAAACTCTGTCACTGTTCAGGGAGTATTTCAGATGATGCAGCAAACAACTTGTTTATGTCCCAGACGATCTAAATGAATTGGGGGGACAGATCACTAATAAGTAATTTTTTCCTTCTCATACGAAAAAAAGGTGTGCAAACTTTAAGTTAAAACCATACCTCTTGGCTTTAAGGCCCCTCCCCATACCTACCCATCTCAGTTTCAGACTGGTCCAATAATTACAGAAGCAGGGCATTATTGAGCAGGAGAGAAAAACATAAAGCCGGAGCCTGCTCTGCATGATCACATTGATCAGTCTCCCTCTCTTCTCACGTTGTCATAATGTTGCAAGGTGAAGAGAGATTGGCACAGATCTAAATTTGTTACGCATCCCTAATGCAATTTTCCAGCATTCCTAGGGATAGGACACTGATTGGTTAGATAAATGTGCCTCCTGGAGTGGGTGTGTAACGCCTAAGAAAGATGAAGCTAAAGCTTTTGAATGAAACCGTTGTCTCAAAGTTATGCATGTCCCTTTAACTGTGATTACCTTTTAAGCCAGATACTGCTGCGTATGTCCAGGACATCCCCAGAAGTTATGTTGTAGGAGCAGGTTTGCAATGGCAAGTAACTTCTAAACCTGGCTAGTAGCATAGAACTTTAAACCGGTTTGAAAATTCATAAAAGGCCGTCTGGACGGGCCAGTTCTTATTTTCTGTTACAGTCTGTTTTTAAGTAAGTGCAGATTTAGAAATACGGGAAACGCAATGGATTAAACAATTTTCATTAATGTACAGAAATTCTTTACTCAATGTTCTTAGAGAATTGTGTGCAATGCATAGACTAAACTGTAAGTAAAATATTTACCACAGTTCTGCACGTTTTTCATATCTTCACATACTTTTGTGTTCTTGAGAGATTGTGCAGTAGCTTAATGCACCAAGTGTAGAACCAGTTCACATCAGGGTCACAAGCTGTATGTGAGCTACCCAAGCATGTGGACCATTCATCCTTCCATATTCAATAAAATGAGTGTAACTGAATTGTAGAAAATCTAATTGTCAACTGATGGAGCATTTGTTTACATTTCATTAAAGGTTTTGAAAAGTGATTTTTGTGTGTATGTCGTTCTTTTTCTTACACGCTCACAGCATACAGCCAATCCGCTTTCAGTTACAAGGATCTCAAATTATATTTGTTTTATATTCTACTGCGTCTAGGAGAAAATGGAAGAACCAGATCGCTTTGTAATCCATGTAACTGAAAGCTACCTGGTTGCGTGAATGCTCAGTAGACAGCCAAGTGAGTGGGTCAGATAACGGCCCAAGATCTGTTAAAATAGGTGTTCTCATTGGGTGAAGGGGAGATGGTGGCAAGGTTAGCTTCTCCTTAATTCCTATAGGTAACATTACTGAACCCCAACATACACAGAAGTAAGTAATATAAACCTTTCAAAAACTGGGAGAAAAACACATACTGAGTTTTCATTAAATTCTGAGCGATTTCAATTAAGATAGATAAGAACCGTATATTCTATATAGAAAAATATGTAACATGTTTTTCTGGTCACAAAGTGCTACAGAATGTGTTGGTGTTGATATAAAAAAGTTGCAATGTTTTGCATCTTATGTCTGTGCTTGATCTCTCATCTAGGTAAGCTCCCCATTGAAGACCTCAACATCATATCCACTGAACGAGTATGAACCTCTGCCCAGTGGTTGCGAGGCACATTGGGAGGTGGTGGAGAGGATCTTATTCATTTACGCCAAGTTGAACCCCGGCATCGCCTATGTACAAGGCATGAATGAAATTGTAGGGCCCGTTTACTACACCTTTGCTACAAATCCCAACAGTGCGTGGAAAGGTGAGATATGACCGTTAGAATGGGAGAGGAAACATTCCATTCCGTATCTCTTGGAAACCCTTAGTATAAAACAGGGAGAATTAAACGGTATTCTATCCACTCCTGTGGAGCTTTAACGTGCATGATTTTTCTTTTACCAGCTTCTAAAATGGCATCAAACAAAACTCAAACATACAGATCGTTACGATGTGTATGTTGATAATGTTAACATTGTCTCATCTTCCTTTCACAGAGCACGCGGAAGCAGATACTTTTTTCTGCTTCACTAATCTGATGGCAGAAATTCGTGACAATTTTATCAAGAGTTTAGACGACTCACAGTGTGGAATAACTTCAAAGATGGAGAAGGTCTATGCAACTCTGAAGGAGGATGATGAGGAGTTGTACCTAAAACTGGTAAGGGTTTCCATGCTGCTGTTTTGCCAAACTGTCTTTGCTGTACCTAACTTTAAACAATGAAGTTACAAATTCAGCTTCAGGTAGGTATAGAAATGTCATCTCTACATTGTGGTATTTCGATTATTTCCAGGAAGAGAATCACATAGAGTAAAATAATCCCTACATTTACATCATAACTTCAAAATGGGAAAAATAAACAAAGCATAGAGGTCAAGAAAAAGGGAGATTTTATTACACAATAAAAAGTGTGAATACACTTTAATTCAATTATTAGCAGAGTTGTATTGTTGACGTATTCCAAGAGCATTTCTTTGTGAAACCTAATTCGAATGTATCACGTCTTTTCAGCAAGAACAAAACATAAAGCCCCAGTTCTTTGCTTTCCGGTGGCTGACCCTACTCTTCTCCCAAGAGTTTGTGCTTCCTGACGTCATCCGAATTTGGGATTCTCTGTTTGCTGATGAGGAAAGATTTGACTTCCTCCTTAATGTTTCTTGTGCAATGCTGATGTAAGTATTTTGTATTAAAGGGACACTATAGTCACCTAAACAACTTTAGTTTAATGAAGCTGTTTTAGTGTACGGATTATGCCCCTGCTTAATTCACTGCCATTTAGGAGTTCAATCACTTTGTTTCTGTTTAAGCAGCACTAGCCACACCTCCTCTAGCTATGATTGACAGAGCCTGCATTAAAAACAAAACTGGTTTCACTTTCAATCAGTAATTTACCTTAAATAATTGTATCCCTTGCCATGTAAATTAAACTTTAATCACATACAGGAGGCTCTTGCATGGTTTAGCAAGCTATTAACATAGCAGTGAATAAAAAAAATCTAAATTAAACAGAACTTGCAATAAAGGAAGGATAAACTTTACATGACTTTTTACAGGAAGTGTTTAGGAAGGCTGTGCAGTCACATGCAGGGAGGTGTGACTTGGGTTCATAAACAAAGTGATTTAAGTAGTGAGACTGCAGGGGCATGTTCTATGCACCAAAACTGTTTTATTAAGCCAAAGTTGTTTTGGTGACTATAGTGTCCCTTTAAAGAACGGCAGACTATTGTTTGATAAATCCTTTGTTTATAAAATTGTTTGAAATAAACGAACATCAATTATGGGAATGATCAGTGGAATTTAATTTCAGTGTTCTACTTTCAGTTGTATTTTATTTAATAAGACGCTCATGATGCGAAATAGAGAAGAGGAGTTGTGAAGAGTTGCAACCTTCGAATCTAACAAATGAACTAAAATGCAAAAATAAAATAACGTTGAAAACGTTAATATTGTAAATCATCCAACTTGTTACTAACTCCTGACATAGAGTACATTCATATAAAAAAAATAAAGGGAACTATTTAAAAATTGTAATTCACTAACGATAAGTTAAAGTTAATTGTTTCATGTTAATCTGAGTATTTCAAGACAAAGTGAACAAATTGCTTCATTAGCGAAAAAATATAAAACCTCTTACATGTGCAAAAACGAGAGGTAAGTGTGCGATCGGTTTGCAGTGATTTTTGTAAAATGCTGGTATGTTAATCAACAGGAACAGGAAGGCACTTGCATTCTAAACTACACAAGGATCATATGTTGTTAGGAGTGTTCTTAGGCGGCCATATAAAAAAAAAATGGAGATGATGTAAACCTTTTCTTTTTTCATGTGGAGTAGAGTTGGTACAGACTTTTCTGGCGCTCGCGTCAACATCCGCATAATATTGTAAATAATTGAGCTGCGTAAGGAAAAATTAGAAACTGCAGTAAATAAAATGTAAATCTCTGCATGCAAGAATCCAATGCTTAAATTGGTTTACGTAGTTAATCTTCAACCAAAAGATATCAGAAGGGAACAGTTAAAGGAACACTATAGGCTCAGGAACACAAACCTGTATTCCTGACACTATTGTGAAAACCCACCATTTAGGTGGGTTGCCCTCCCCTCCCACCAGCTCCCTCAGAATGGGTTAAAAAACGCCTTATTTCCAGGTCTCCACGGGTCTGCTGGCGCTGGCCCCGCCCCCTTCATGACATCATCAAAATAGCAGATTTTTAGCCAGTCCAATGCTTTCCCATGTATGACAATAAAATCCACAAGGGGGCGGGGCAAAACACAGTTTTGGCCAATCAGCACCTCCTCATAGAGATGCATTGGATCAGTGCATCTCTATGAGGAAAATTCAGCGTCCTCATGCAGAGCGTGGGGACGCTGAGCCAGGAAGCCCCTCCAGTGGCCATCTAAGGAATAACCACTTGGAGGTGTCCCTAGGGGCAATGTAAACACTGCCTTTTCTCTGAAAAGGCAGGGTTTACATGAAAATGCATGAAGGGAGCTATTATATTCACCAGAACAACTACATTAAGCTGTAGTTGTTCTGGTGACTATAGTGTCCCTTTAATGATAACCAGCTGTAGCACGTGTTAACACGCTTGTGTATTTTAAAACGTATTTAATGCATAGCAGCAAAGAACTAAACTGTCAATGTTTCAATACTGGGTCCCTCATTAAGACCTCTTGATAATAGTGAGATGGGTGACGTTTGCCATGTCTGATCTGCTCTTTTTTTCCGACAGATTAATCCGCGATCAGTTATTAGCAGGAGACTTTACAGTGAACATGAGGCTGTTACAGGTAATTGCATTCTAATATGTATTCTATTTATTAGGTGGGTTTTTTTACACAGCTTATAGGTGAATTACAACATTTTTTAATTTTTTTTTTTATATGAGGGATTGTAGTAATATCTGCAGAGTGTAAAATTAATTAATTCCAAACTACTTAAAAAGTAGAACATATGTAATAATACTCCGTAATAAGGGATTTATGTCACTTTATAAATCCTATAGGAAGCCTTTCAGGTAACGTAGTCTTCCTACAGAAAGACCTGTGACAGGTCGTGGTTCTATGATTCTGAGAATAGAGAATCCATATTTCAAAAGAAGACATGTTTCACTACGATAGAATTTAAATTAAATTAGGTACAGTGCATGATGGGAAAGATGCCTTGCTGTCATGCCTGTGGTCTATGAGACCATAACTTGCTCTCATGGTGGGGGAGGAATAGATGAAGTTCAATATATTCAGTATGCTGGTGGTTTCCAGACTGTGACATCATGATTATCTATTAGCGTCCAGTTGTGCTGTGCTTCTCACATTCTAGAATTGCTGTCCGTGTCTGATTTAACAAATCAGTCTTATATATACAAAAAGTGCCAAAGAGACTGTGATTGTGGGAGCTTCCCCACCTTTCTGTGTTTATGTATAATTGCTTGAGACTTGTTTATGTGTAGCACTATCCTATGCTAGCAGTTAAGTCAATGAAATTAAAAAAACTGATAATCAACTTTATTTAAAACTTTAATATATAATTTGAACGTAGTTTAGCTGTAGACACACACACACACGACTGTCTTGATCAATTTAGCTGTAGTATTGCTCATGTACACAGGTACAAAGTAAACTTCATGTAATTACAGGGACACTTGGCACTATAACAATTTATTTTGTTAAAGTGGTGGTAGTGCCTGGGGACCGTTAAACACTGAATGATGGTCATTGGCTGCCCATTACCAGGTCTGAAATGAAGGTATGGCTAAGGCAGAGATTACAGTCTGTATAGTTATATTGATTAAAACCAGCAATAGGTGGCTGAGATTGGCTTCCATCAGCTACCATCAGACTCTCTCATTAACCCGAGCAGCAGAGAAATGGACTGCTACCGGCTACTTCCGTTTAGAGTTCAAACATTAAAAAACCATTTAGCATTGAGCAGAAGGACGGCCCTAGGGAGCTCCAGGCACTGTGATTACATGAGTTGAAGTATGCGTGTCTTTAAGTATACATGTTAATTGATATGCATGTAGTTCTTTCATAATTTCTTATCTTCATGTTTTCCATATCAATAGCACGTTTATCCATTTTTTTTTTTTCTCTTCAATCACTGCAGGATTACCCTCTCTCAGATGGAGATGTTCTACCCATTCTGAAGAAAGCCAAGGAACTACGGGATTCAAAACCAAACTTATGAAGAGGATAATATCTAAACACTCCAGAGGGACACGTGTATAAGACTGTACTCTGCCTTCCAGCTAGCCTATTCACAATGCACCTTGGAAATATGTATAGGCTGTGCTCTGTGTTGGTGATCCGAACACTAACTACTCTAAGTCCCTAAATGGGAACATGAATTTTTGCTGCACAAATCAACTGGCACACAACTGCCTGCCTGGCAAGATCTGACTTGCTTTGGACTTTTCATTTATTGGCATGTTGTATTCTATTCTCTATCATGGAAGTTGACAACATTCCTAAGGTTCTATCATATTGTAGTCTGGTGACAGCACTGTCCCACCATACGCACTCCAATCAAAGCACCTGCAACTTCACACTACTCCGTTGATATGGGCTGTTCTGTGTAAAGGATCAACCTCAGGATTCTCTCCAAGTACTAAGGCTAATGAACTGGAATCATCGTGAGTTCACACGTGCCTATACTTTTTGTGGCCACAGATGCATTGTTAGGCAATGCAAAGTGTGCTTGCTTGGATATTTCAGGAGTTAAACTTCTTGTATCATGACTGTTACCTATGTATTGTAGCATTGCACGTCTGAAGGGAACCCTAAAACTGCCTCTCTCCTCAGGGCTCAGTACTTTAGTTGAATAAGTGTTTAATTGTGCTGTTTAATTATCCTTTAGTGCATTCAAAATAGATTACCTTTGATTGTCAACTGGGCCAGTTTATTTTATATTTCTGATTTAATTTTTTGTAATGTTTTAATACAGTGTGGAGAAAATGTTTAAAGAAAAAAAACTTTTTATTGTGGTTATAACCTAGAGGTGATGTCACAATTGTATTTTTAATGGGGATTTCTAATTATTAATCCTAATAAACACTCTTCATGCCTGTGGTTTTGGTAATTAGCTTAACAAACTTGTAATGCACAGCACCAGTTTGAATAATTAATAGTCACATTTATTATAGTTTTCCTTTATTTTAATGATTAATTATCCCAATCAAATCCTCCTGTGCTCTTACCTCCGCCAGGCCGTCTTCTTATAATAGTGCATCCTGCTGCCATCTCTCCCCTGGATAAACGATGCATGTGCACCGGCTATCCACAAAGATCTAAAAGAAAACATAATTCATCACACCCGGCAACCTTTTTTCCATTGCTATGGTCTAGTTCTGATACTCATGTTCCTGTTGAAGGTGCTTTTGGCAGTGGATACAGGTCACCGTGGGCACTCTGACCAGTCTGCTGCTACACAGCCCAATATGCATCAAATTGCGATGCAATGTGTGTTCCGAGACAACCTTTCTATCAATTCCAGCATTTTGCTTCCAGAAATGTGAGCTACAGTAGCTATTCTGTGTGATCGGACCAGACAGGCTAGCCTCACTCCCTATGCACATCAATGAGCGCTGGCCTCCCTCAGCGTTGCCTCTTACTACTCCTCGTGTGATGTTATCCTGGAAGTGTGCCTTCAGGATGATGATGATCCGATCCAATGCTCCTCATAGAAAAGCATTGGGGATAATAGGTGCAGATTATTCTCTATGCACTGCACATGTGTGTATGTGACATCACAGTATGCCTGGGTATGAGAGCAGGTAAGTAACTATTCTGGCTCTTCTATCCACAGGGCCTAGAGGTGTTAATAAGCATCCATGGATAGATTGCTTCTTATTATGCAAGTGAAAAGAAAGCCACTTTGGCATTGCAAACTTGATGGCATTATTCACTGGGCACTGCATGGAAGTAAATTGAAAACTGATTTAGAGAAATTAATCAACTCTATTACAATCATATTTTGAATATCGTCATTTTTGAAAATATATTTTCAATTCACATAATTCACTGTTTAGTAAATAATGTGAAACTCAATTCACTCAACAGCAAACTATGGTTATTGGGTAATTATCAAGAAAAATATGGTTCCATACAACAGTTTGGGGGGGAATGACTACATGCCATTTTAGCATGTATTCACAATTAATGAGAGCTGTAGGCTGTGTAATAATAATAATAATTAATGAGAGTTGTAGGAACTGTGTTATAATAATGAGATATAGGCCCTGTGTAATGACTGCCAGGCGGGGTGGGGCCTCCATTAAATGTATTTATTAATAATAATTAATGAGATGTAGGCCCTGTGTATTGATTGCCAAGCTGGGTGGGGCCTCCATTGAAGGTATTTATTAATAATAATTAATGAGATATAGGCCCTGTGTAACGACTGCCTGGCTGGGTGGGGCCTCCATTGAAGGTATTTATTAATAATAATAATTAATGAGATATAGGCCCTGTGTAACGACTGCCTGGCTGGGTGGGGCCTCCATTGAAGGTATTTATTATTAATAATAATAATTAATAAGATATAAACCCTGTGTAATGACTGCCAGGCTTGGTGGGGCCTCAGTTTAAGGTATTTATTATTAATAATAATTAATAAGATGCAGGCCCTGTGTAATGACTGCCTGGCTGGGTGGGGCCTCCATTGAAGGTATTTATTATTAATAATAATTAATGAGATATAGGCCCTGTGTAACGACTGCCTGGCTGGGTGGGGCCTCCATTGAAGGTATTTATTATTAATAATAATAATTAATAAGATATAAACCCTGTGTAATGACTGCCAGGCTTGGTGGGGCCTCAGTTTAAGGTATTTATTATTAATAATAATTAATAAGATGCAGGCCCTGTGTAATGACTGCCTGACTGGGTGGGGCCTCCATTGAAGGTATTTATTATTAATAATAATTAATAAGATGCAGGCCCTGTGTAATGACTGCCTGGCTGGGTGGGGCCTCCATTGAAGGTATTTATTATTATTATTAATAATAATAATTAATAAGATATAAACCCTATGTAATGACTGTCTGGCTGGGTGGGGCCTCCATTGAAGGTATTTATTATTAATAATAATTAATAAGATGTGGGCCCTGTGTAATAACTGGCTGCCTGGCTGGGTGGGGTGTGGCCTCCGTTGAAGGTGACCCTGCAGGCTGGCGATGGGGCTCCGCGGGAAGGCCCTGCTCTCCGGTGTTTCCCTGGCGGTTGGGGCCGCCCTGGGAGCTGCTGTGGCCGGCTGGCGGCTGAGGGGAGATCCCGGCTCCGTGTGGGTGCAGGCCGCGGCCGAGCTGTCCGTACCCCCCGCCGCCGGGGTGACACGGTTCGGCCTGCCGGGGTTCGCTCAGCTGAAGAGCCGGGAGTCCCACGTGCTGAGCTATGACCCCCGGCTGCGGGGCCCGGCCTGGGTGCTGGAGCAGCTCAATGCGGAGCGGGTACAGGGCACCGCCACCCGGCAGAGCTGTGACTTCCGGGAGGACGAGTCCGTCCATCACTACCACCGGGCCGGCAACAGCGACTACCTGGGCAGCGGCTTCGACCGGGGACACCTGGCGGCGGCAGCCAACCACCGCTGGAGCCAGAAAGCCATGGACGACACCTTCCTGCTCAGCAACGTGTGCCCGCAGGTCAGGGCTCAGCCGCTGCAGCGCCTCTTGTGGGGGAGGGGGGGGGAAGCTGCAAGGGGGCACCTTGGGCTTGGGGGCTACAAAGGGCACATATATGAGCTTAGGGGAGCTGCAAGGGGCACCTTAGGCTTAGGGGGGAGCTGCAAGGGGCACCTTGGAAAGCAGGGGTGAAAGCTGCAAGAGGGGGGCACCTTGGGCAGGGGGCACAGGGGGGCACCCACTTGGAGGCAGGGGGAGGCACAAGGGGCACAGGCAGGGGGCACTGCAAGGCACTGGAAGCAGGGGAGCTGCAAGAGGCACCTTAGGCAGAGGCACAGGGGGGCACACCTTGGGCTTAGGGGAGAGGTAGCTGCAAAAAGGGGAGCACCTTATGGAGGCACAGAGAGCTGCAAAGAGGCACACTTAGAGCAGAGAGAGCTGCAAAGAGAGCACCTTGTAGGCTTAGAGAGGCTTCTAAAGAGGCACACTTGGGAAGCACTTGAGGAGAGAGCTACAGAGGCACTATAGGCAGGGGAGAGCTGCAAGAGGGGCACCACTAGGAAAACTGAGAGAGCGCTACAAAGGGGGGCACAGCAGGCTTGAGGGGGTAGAGAGCTGCAAAGAGGCACCTTGAGCTTGAGAGGTAGAGGGAGCTGCAAAGAGGGGGCACCTTAGGCTTTACAGGGGAGAGAGAGCTGCAAGGGGCACCTTGGAAGGCTTTACAGGAGAGCTGCAAGAGGCACCTTATAGGCTTAGAGAGCTACAAAGGGGCACACTTAGGCTTTAGAGAGCACAAAGAGGCACGGAAGCTTTAGAGAGAGCTGCAAAGGGAGCACCTTGGAAGCAGAAGGGAGAGAGAGGGAGAGCTGCAAGGGGGCACCTTGGAGGGGGGGGGGAGCTGCAAGGGGGCACCTTGGGGGCTAGCTGGGTGGGCTAAGAGGCTTACTCCTGCATTCTGTTATATGCTATACATCATGGGAAATGCAGTCATTGTTTGGTAGTAAATGGACATTGGAATAAAGTTGTTATGGTGCAAGGAGGTCTAGGGCACTGGCTTTCTTTAAGGCTTTAAAGTGACACTATAGGCACCCAGACCACTTCAGCTCAATGAAGTGGTCTGGGTGCCAGGCCCCAGGTTTTAACCCTGCCCGCTGTAAACATAGCAGTTTCAGAGAAACTGCTATGTTTATGTTAGGGTTAATCCAGCCTCTAGTGGCTGTCTCACTGACAGCCGCCAGAGGCGCTTCCACGATTCTCAGGGTGAAAATCACACTGAGATGACGCTGGACGTCAGCATTGCGTAATGCTTTCCTATGAGCGATTTGAATACGCGCGTGGCTCTTGCCGTGCATGTGCATTCGGAGCTGACGTCAGCAGGGGGAGGGGAGGTCATCAGCCGAGTGAAGACTGGCGCTGGATTAAGGTAAGTGGCTGAAGGGAGGCCCTGAGGGATTGGGGGTTCTAATAACCCTATAGTGCCAGGAAAATTAGTTTGTTTGCTCTTGCCGCGCGTGCGCATTCAGCCGACGGGGGGGAGAGGAGGAGGAGAGCTCCCCACCCAGCGCTGGAAAAAGGTAAGTTGTTTTTTTTTTTTTCTTCCAGAGCCGGGCGGGTGGGGGCACCCTCAGGGCACTATAGTGCCAGGAAAACGAGTATGTTTTCCTGGCACTATAGTGGTCCTTTAATCAGTTTTTCATGAAGATTCTATCTTTATGAAATACTGAAAGTGACAGATCCCCTTTAATGAAGCAGTTTTGGTCTATAGATCATAACCCTGCAGTCTCACTGCTCAATTCTCTGACATCTAGGAGTTAAATCACTTTGTTTATGCAGCCCTAGTCACACCTCCCCTGGCTGTGACTTACAGCCAACATTAAAAAATTGTTTCATTTTCAATCCGTACAGTGTGTTTACTTTAGAAGTTTTTACCTCTTGTTTGTTAATTAGTCCGATTTGGGGGACTGCCCAAAACCCAGACAGTGACCCTGAAGCCAGTCCTGCCAATCGAAGTCATGTGATCATTATGACTGCACAATCACATGACTTGGATCGGCATGATTGACAGATTGGCTGCAGATCCATGAACATATAATTAATAAAATCACTTAATTATGTTAAAATAATACATGGTACCTGGAGTGTTCCTTTAAAATGAAATATGTACCTCAAAACAAAAGGTTCCTTTGCTGGGGGCTAGTGGATTTTTTTTTTTTTAACTGCATACCAATGCAAAACTCAGTAGATAAGCTATAATTTCGTGTGTGTGTGTGTGTGTGTGTGTGTGTATTTTTTTTTTCTGCCATCTGTTGCACACTGGCATTTTTGGACTTTTAAATACTGTGCTTTTGGAACATTAACACATCATTCTTACAGAATCCTCATTTGAACCGAATCACCTGGAATAAACTGGAAAAATATTGCCGAGGGTTAACCAAGAGTAATAAAAATGTGTATGTGTGCACTGGACCCCTCTTTCTGCCCAGGTAAATATTTATATGCTGTCATTGCTTGTTAAAGGCACACATGTTATGTAGGTACCACCCTGTTGCAGTGACACTAAGGCCCAAAAAAACTTTAGCTTAATGAAGCGCTTTTGGTGTATAGATCATGCTCCTGCAACTTCACTGCTCAATTCTTGGCCATTTAGGAGGTAAATCACGGTGACAACCCCACTGGAGGGTCCCGTAATGATATTTACTTAAAGGAGCACTATAGGGTCAGGAACACAAACATGTATTCCTGACCCTATAGGGCAGGGGTCCACAAACTCTGGCCCCCCCCCCAGATGTTGCTGAACTACAACTCCCATGATTCTTTGGCTATCTATGTAATTCAAAGAATCATGGGAGTTGTAGTTCAGCAACATCTGGGGGGCCGGAGTTTGAGAGCCCATGCTATAGGGTTAAAACCACCATCTAGCCACCCTGGTACCCTCATGCCTCCCTAAATATAGAAATCTTACTTGTTTTCAAGTCTGGAGCTGCTTGCATTGTCACGGTTTCCTATAGACCTGCCCACTGCCATCAGCAGAAGTGGTAGCCTGATCCAATTACAATGCTTCCCCATAGGATTGTCTGAGACTGACAGAGGCAGAGCAAGCATGATTCAAACACAGCCCTGGCCAATCAGCATCTACTCATAGAGATGAGGAAATTAGGAAGGTTCAGTGTCTGCATGCAGAGTGAGGAGACACTGAATGTTTGGATGCATTTTAGGCAGCCATGACCCAGGAAGGATCTCTAACAGCTATCTAAGGAGTGGTCAGTCAAGTTATCACTAGGCTGTAATGTAAACACTGCATTTTCTCTGAAAAGACTGTGTTTACAGCAAAAAGCCTGAAGGTAATGATTCTACTCACCAGAACAAATTCAATAAGCTGTAGTTGTTCTGGTGACTATAGTCTCCCTTTAACTGAGCCTTTTCCTCACAGGTGCCTTCATCTCCCTGACTATTTTCTTCAGCTGCCAGCGACGTCAGCAATATTATTTCCCTACAAACGTTTGTCTCAGTATATCTTTTGTCTGTTTGAATTGCAGTGAAAGTCCTATACAGTCAGTATTTCATAATTATTTCATACAGGGATGACAGACCCAGTTTAAACAGACTGTGTAATGCAAATATTTATCTTTAATATTTGTTTAAATATTGTAGATGTTTTGATAGTCTAGTGACATATGGCCCCAGGCAATGCTAGGATTAGACAGGTACTTAATTCCAACAGCAAAATTAAACCTGGTTACATAAAGATCTAGACAGTTACATTGCTGTGTTCCATAGTTGTTTGACAAGGACTACAATTGGTACATTTACCAACTTAACTCTCTCTTCCGGCTCAGGGCTTGTAAAACTCTCTGCCTGATGGTGGAGTGGGGAAAGATCTCTTGTTCTTTCTGCCTCTCCACTCCTTGCAGTATACACAAAAAAATCCTGCACTCTCGCAATCAAGCTAGGTGATCACGATCCAAGGTTGGCAAATCCCAACTTAGCAGGTATGAGGAAAGTCAGCTCCAGGCACTCAGAATATTGCAGAAAGCTGATTTATTGGAACAGAGGTACAACTGACAAAGGTCTATGTGCAGGCCAAAGTGTTGCTTCTTTTTTCCAATAAAAAAAACTGGAGGAATGGCACACCATCACCACTTCAATAGTCTGTATCAAAGCAGCCTACATCATTATGCAAACAAAACTTAAAGAAACACTATAGTATTAAAAGTACAAACATGTATTCCTGACACTATAGCCCTAGAGTGCAGCACCTCTAGTTGCCGTCTGAGTGACAGCCACTAGAGGTGTTTCTAAGCAGCAATGTAAACACTGCCGTTTCTCAGAAAAGGCAGCGTTTACATAGAAATGCATAGAAAAGCCTGCATGGACAGGCTATAGACACCAGACCCACTATAGCGTTCCTGTAAATATAATCAAGATTTAGATCTAAATATGTCCTTTTTAAAGTATATACTCTAAATGTTCTTACATAATTCTAACGCTGTATAAACATGTATGGTGTCTTCTCAGGATGGAGCCAGATGGGAAGATGTACGTGAAGTACCAAGTCATTGGTAAAAACAATGTGGCTGTCCCCACACATTTCTTTAAAGTTGTGGTTTTGGAGAAGTTCAGCGGAGAACTGGAGCTTCGACCCTACATAATGCCAAATTCTCCGGTTGATGAAAATACCCCATTGGAGCGCTTTCTGGTGCCTATAGAGCGCATTGAACGGGCTGCGGGCCTGCTCTTTGTCCCCAATCTCATGAAAAGTACTAACAAGTTACAGGCTATTACAGCTGGTGGTAAATGAAGACTCCTGTTAGAATTCTCTTATATGAAAAAGCTGCTATTTCTATCCTAATATAACACTTGAATGAACAGACAGTAATATATTTTGTAGGATTCACCCTATGAAAAAGTGACGTATACGAATGTAATAAAATCATTATTTTATTATGTGTGTAGTACACTGTATATCCTGGGCATACACAAGTCTTTGTAATTATTATAATCACATAAAAATGGGATAGAGTACATGCCTGAATGAGTGGTGGTTTCTGCAGCTCTATCCTTAAACTTTAGAATTTTTCAATTTTTTTGTTAATTCATAATTCAATCCGTTTCTGAAGTACAAGAACTCTCTGATGTTACCATTCCGGTAGGAGACTGAAGAAACCGTTTTTCTTGGTTTATCAACTCCCTTTAAGCCATATTACAAGTGGATTCCCACAAGTTTGAATTGTGACCTTGCCCGACTGACCAATCTATCCCCTTATTATGCAGGCAAGCGGTTTGTTTTTCTCAAAACAACGCTGAGCTGAAAGTCTTCATTTATATCCAGGACTGGGAAAATGGCAATTGATTCGAAGTATGCACCAGTGTAGGTTTTTATTTGTGAATTTGTTGGGGCTTTGTTAATGACACAATATAACCAGTGAATGAGGAGCAAGATGTCTTGTGCCTGGTGTGATCTAGTTCAAGACCTCATTGTCGGAGCAAGTTAACACAGAGTCCACAGACCGGTAGAATAGACAGTCTCAGCTTCCTTCAGGACTATGGGACGCAGCTTCTATCTTGGGCCTCAGTGCAGACAAAGATATTAAAATAGCCTCCTACAAGTAAAGCAAGAAGCCACAAACAGTTAAGTGTTTCAAAATAAGCATTAAAATAAAATCAGTATTTCAAAACTGTTGGCAACAGTATAGTAAATGTCCCTTTTTTGGCACCCGTCACCCTCCCCAGTTTATTCATAAACCACATGATCTGTGTGTAGTGATTGCCTAATATCTTTCTACCATTGCAGTTTTTAGGATTATTGGGTTTAGACAGAACCACGTGATGCCATATTAAAGGTACACTATAGGGCCAGGAACACAAACGTACATTGGTTTGGCCTTTTTTGGGCATTGTCGGTAAAATGCAGCTGATAACGTTCATCCCAGGAACAGCTTAGGTTTAATGTCTGAAAACCCTAAGCAAATGCATTAAAGGAAAAACAAAGAGTATGTTTTTGCATATGGTGTCATGTGTCCTCTGGTTCCACCACATGGTAAGCAAACGGTTTATGAACACTTTTTAACTAATCTAGCTTTGCCTAGTGCGCATGTTGTCTCTAGCCTGTTTTGATCTGTCTTAGTAATACACTTTGGATAGGATTCATTAGAAGAGACCCATAAGCTGACGTATACAGTTTGAGGGGAATCCTGGCAACATATCCACAACAGCAGACAGGGGTATGATGCAGAGAATAGCCCATTAAAGGAACACTATAGTCACCTAAATTACTTTAGCTAAATAAAGCAGTTTTAGTGTATAGATCATTCCCCTGCAATTTCACTGCTCAATTCACTGTCATTTAGGAGTTAAATCACTTTGTTTCTGTTTATGCAGCCCTAGCCACACCTCCCCTGGCTATGATTGACAGAGCCTGCATGAAAAAAAAAACTGGTTTAACTTTCAAACAGATGTAATTTACCTTAAATAATTGTATCTCAATCTCTAAATTGAACTTTAATCACATACAGAAGGCTCTTGCAGGGTCTAGCAAGCTATTAACATAGAAGGGGATAAGAAAATCTTAATTAAACAGAACTTGCAATAAAGAAAGCCGAAATAGGGCTCTCTTTACAGGAAGTGTTTATGGAAGGCTGTGCAAGTCACATGCAGGGAGGTGTGACTAGGGTTCATAAACAAAAGGGTTTTAACTCCTAAATGGCAGAGGATTGAGCAGTGAGGCTGCAGGGGCATGTTCTATACACCAAAACTGCTTCATTAAGCTAAAGTTGTTCAGGTGACTATAGTGTCCCTTTAAGTGTTTTGCCAAGAGCCACTTCCTTTTTTATAGTAGTTTACTATACAAATTTTAAAGTGTTGATCCTTTTAAAATAAATGTTTTGATGCCGATGTGATTGCTGTAAATGTAAAATAGCCAGTTTTAAGAAACTATGAACAATGTAGCGTCAACTCACCTCTGTTCTGATGGTACGGCTGCCTTGCCCAGGACAAGTATTTAGGTAATGGTTAAACAGGAGGCTCGGTTCTGTAATATTCACATTCTGGTCACTGTCAACACTGGCCTCCAGCCCTTGAAGACCTCCGAAGACTACCAGCGCATGTCTGCAAACACAATTCAACATGGTCACTACAAAAACCTCAGTATCGCCAGTGAGAGGCAGCCAAGATCAGAAAATTAACTTGCAATAATGATTAGGACCCAACTTAGAATAAAAGAGCAATACTATCTCAAATCCACCATAAAACTGCTGCTGGCATCTCTAAGAAATTATGACCAACACCACCGCAGCCCTTTATTAGCCCGGTGACTGGAAGCTAGCAGGCAAAGCTTGCAACTTGTTATCCTGAGCCCACAGCAATATATTTCAACACTTTTTTCATATAAAGATTACAGTACAGTTGCAAATGATAATCCTGTGAATGCCTCTCCTATTAAAATCAATCCTTTATTAATCCAAAAAACAAGATTTCAGGATTTCAATACTATACTTACTTGAATTTTGGCAGCGTGACGTCTTCAACGTTAGACCCTTTTTCTGATGTTCCAATGGAAAGGTCATAGCCATCTTTAAAGGGGCATTCAGTGAAGACAGAACCTGTAAAAATAAACATTGAGCTAATAAAATCTACTCTCTACATTGAGTACATAGAATGCTTGAAAACCATATCATATTACTCACTAATGCAGGATGCCAGTCTCACTCTGTATCCCCAGTAAAGACCCCCGTCGGTCCTTGGACTCTGTGGAGAGACCACAATTCCTTTCCGCACTCTCTTTTCTAGAAAGGTGAGGAAAAAAATGAAATAAAATAAAACTAAGAGATACTTTAGTCTAGAAAGTACATTCTGATGTCACTGTACCCTTTTACAAGTCCAAAAGACATGGACTTTTATATTTTCTAATGGTAAGTTAATTTACTTAGTTTCTTCAAGCTAGAACAGTTGATAAATGCATACTAGGGATGCACCGAAATGAAAATTCTGGGCCAAAATTAAGGATGCCCTTGGCCGAAAACATATTTTTTCTATAATTTTATTGATTCAATAACTGCACATATGGAAATTGAAAGTTTACACTTCTAATTGGGGAACGTGGCAAACCCATACCAGGAGGAAGAAGTCCCCAACTGTCCCCCATGCCCACCTCTCCACAAACAAAACCTATATCCTGGTCATGGCCCATAGTCAGTGGTTAGGAGGCAGAAGTCAGAAGTCAAAGTAATGAAAAATCTTTTCCCTGATTACAACAATAGACCCGATATGTAGTTCTGTCCCTTTAAGAGTGCAAAGGCCGTGATTTAAGTAAGGGAAACGAACCTATTTTCATGGAAACGGGAAGTAAGCCACCTCTTAGTATATTATAATGTCAATCAAACTAGCCTGCACTGCAGGACAGGGAGAGAAAAGTAAGTACCGTAGTTTCTTCCTGTCATGAATCACCTCCCCCCTTGCTACCTTCGATTGTTCAGATCCAGAGTGGTACATTTTGGCAATAGGATCGACAGGTGGAGCGGTCCATTACAAGCAGCAAAAGGGGTGGTTCGTGCCTAGGTCGGGGCTGTGGGGCCTGCCTGGATTTGTGACTTTCTTTGTCTCGCCGTACAGGGGAGAGCGGTGGAGCAGGAAGCCGATCGTAGGATCGGTAACCAGCCATTGAAAGACGGTCAGAGAAGAGAGACATGGACAGCCAGGTATTGAAAAAGAAAGGTGGGTACTTTAGGCATAATTACAGCCACTAGGACTCAAGGAATCCAAGAGCAGGTTTGAGTCTGTCTCATGGCCATAGGGCAGGACCCAGGAGACAAGGGGACTAGGAAGATGGCACAGACAAAGGAACATGGACTTAGAGAGGTTTGGGATGGAGTATTGGTAGAGAGGACTATGGGAGACGGATTTGGAGGTTGGGGGGTTGTAATTTTTGGGAGATTAGACCCGTTTTCGGCTGAAATGGGATGGGCCCATTTTCGGCTGAAAATTTCGGTGCATCCCTAATGCATACAATGTGTGATGCGCAAGAATCCCTTCAGGTCCTGGTCTAAATTCTCCAGTTATGCAGCTCAATCAATGTAAAGCAGCTAAAACGTGGCTCAGCATGAAACATGCAGGCAATGAATGTACGCGGACACACCCCAATGTATGACATAATATACGCACAATTTGAAACAAAGCCTAATCTATACACTGGCAAGTAATGTGCCTTAAACAAGCACTGTTTACATCTTATTCGCTGAAACTGCCTGCATGTAATTTTTTGCTTAACTGGTGCACTTTAAGATGCTATCAATGAGATGCAGCATAACTTACCTGCATTATCAGGGTGTAAGCGCACAGTAACCCGGACACCTACTTGCAGCAGTTTGTCTATTTGCACCTCCTAAAAAAATGATGTATATATTGTGAAAAGACACACACTAATTAACAACATGATATTGACTCTAAAAGTGATAAACTCACATTTCTCTGTGGTTCCAAAAATATGCATTCTAACCCCCTTTTCAAAATTTGGATAGAACACTTTATTGGCTGTTTTTTTTACAAACACTTTTATAACAACCCTAAGTTTGATGCATTTTAGTATAAGATTATTGCAATAAATCAAGTTTGTAGTTTTTTCATGTGACCTTCATTCCAGAAACGCCAAAATTAGCCAGTTTCTTAGATATTCTATGAATCTAATTGGTTTCACCAAATAGAAGTTGAAGATATTCTCTCTCCCAAAACTATGCATTCATAAGTGATGTGTTTGATTTGCCAAAGAACAGGGTAACAAAAACGTATGACACGAATATTGAATAAAGTGAGGATGGCGAGGAATTCAAAGTGAATTTAAATGCAAAATAGCAGAATTATAAAAATTCTTCCAGTTTCACTACCGTGACCTTAAATTTGCATCTTTGGCAATTTCAAATTCCTGACAATGCTCAAGTTAGTGAATAACCCTGTGAGATGTGCACTTAACTGGAAATCGATTTCACAAATCAGAATGAAACAGATCATACCTTACGCATTCCGCAGTTAACAAAGGACCCTTTGCCTGGTTTGGTGGGTCTGTTCAGCACTACTCCTTCTCGATATTCAGAATCCTCGTCAATCCTCAAATGGTGCGGGCTGTCTAAAGGATTTAGAAGTCCTGCAAAACATTATTCATTATTAGTGTGATTTATCTGTGAACCAGCCTACTTTACCAAAATGTATAACATATGCGAAGTGATGCATAGGACAACAAAGTGGCAAATTCAGGTGTGCATGGCATGCAAAGCTAAGTCTGCAACCTGGAACTGAAATCGCAGTCACTGACCTACTGACTGTACTACCTACCTGCAAACTGCAAGTCCTGGTGTTTTGGGAAAAATGATTTTCTCAGGTATCTAAAAGAAAAACAAAAATATCCATATGTGATGTTGATAAAAAAAAAAATGACTGTGCCTGAACAACAGTACACCACTATAGGATTGTACCATTTCAATCAACTGTTCAAGAACCATAACAACTTTATAGTGACATCATAATCTAGATTGAAAAAAAAAGTCCATTGAGTTAATCCTTAACACACAAAAAAAAAATCCCAATGAAATCGTGGTGATGCTTGGGAGTCATCTGCTGCCATTTTACCTTTAACCCTTAAGATGTGTCCCCAGGCACAGATCTCTCCTTCTCCTACCCTGCTGCGGACTAATGCAGAAACATTAGCGTGAGCAGTGAGGGGTCAGTGTGACTGGTTGACAGTGTCAGCTGACACTGTCAGTCTGTCTTTGGCAACCCATTGTGTATACTCCAGTTACCATAACAATTTAATTAAGATGAAGTTATGGTGCCTGGAGTATTTCACTAAGTAGAAAAGTTATCAGAGCTATGAGTGTGTTTCACTGCAGGTAAGTTATAAACTACATATTGTGCTAGATAAATCACAAGCCAATTTATAGATTATAGATGTTTATGCACTGGTCTCGGTTATGAAGATCATTTTACCATAAAGATTTGCATTAAATCCCACAATATTTCACACATGGCAATGTGGTATGGTGTCCTCTGCATTCTTAGAGTAGATGCGCTTAAATATTTTATATCCTAATTTGTAATTCAAAATACATACATATATATGGATATTAAAGTATACAAAAAAAAGGTTACCTATCCTTCGGTTACTTAGTTTGGCCAGCAGGTACAAATGTGATTTTGTGTTTAGATTTGCCTTTAATTGTGCTTTTCTACAACAAGTTCCATAAACATGCACTTACTGAGGACATTCCAGATACTGCAGGATACGCGCCAGTTGTACGCATGCCTGCCCTTTCTTTCCAACACCTTCAAAGTTTCCCTCCACACTTCTGCAACACAATGAGTAAAACACATTATTGCCCGTACTGGCCACCAGGTAAAGAAAACAGCCCAGCTAAACAAAGAACACAAGAGACGTACTTAGATCCTTCTCCAACCTCATCGAATATCACAATTTCATCAACGCAGAAGACACAACAAGCCCGAGCTATCTGTCCAGCCAGGTAGGTACGTAACTCTGGGGACTGGGCATTATCCAAAATGGAGCCTGGTAAAGCGACACTCAATGTGTACTGACGACCTGCAAAATGAATACAGTCACCAGATGCAAATATCACATTACTTTAAAAAAAAAAAAAAACAGTAATGTCTTGTGTCAAGTCTGCATTCCAGTCACTGTTTGTATTCCGGTAACTACAAAGTCCCACTTCATAATACTATCGCTAACCTTGCATACCAGTGATGCAGATCCCAATTTAAATTGTAATTTACAAATCTTTAAATTTGCATCTGGATTGTACAATGTGGGTAAAAGAGCCAAATTAGATGATAAAAAAGTAAATAAATTCAGGTATTCTCTAAAATTAGAAGAAAAAAGTACAATTCAGGTTTTTTTCTAAACTGATCAGAAAATGAGACATCTGATGAAAAGAACACTCTGCAGTGAAAATATCAATAGATATCAGAATTTAGTAGATATATATTTATCCATGCATGTAGTCATTGGGGAAATATCAAATAAAAGAAAAAAAACTTGCAAAAGTTATAGCTGCAGATTTTCTTTCTGTAGCCTTTGCAAGCCTTCCCCTACCCCCAGCACAGACTAAACATTCTAAAAGACTAGATGCTTCTGAGCCATGTGTGCAGCCAGGTGGAGATGTATGAAGCTCTCTGAAGCCAGGTTGCAGGTGGAAGAACAGGGAGGACCAGATACAATGCAGCCCTGTTAATGCATGCTGATAGGCACTTGTAGAAGAAGCCAGGCACGCAACAGTAGTTGAACTAACAAAAGGACTGACTGACAGCCAGGGAAAAGTTTCTTAATCAATTTATAAACGTGCTGATTTCTCATAGAAAAAAAGCAGTTTTATAAACTGGTTTTACAATGGGATACTCCATAGACACAAAGCACTGCAGCAAACTAAAGTATGTGTGTGGAGTGGTCCTTTAATTGTATTCCAATTACAGCCTGTTCATACACAGATGTTTATCTTTTCCTACCAATCGCTGTTTTCTTCCCTTCCTTCTCGAGCTGCTCCAGCTTTTGCTGTTGTTGTCTCTTCTCCAGCTGTTTTACCAACTTTGCCTCTCTCCATTGTTTACGTTGCTCTTTTCCTGAAATGAAAATACACCATTGATTAATGAAATTAATTAAATAAAATCGATGCAACTTATAACTATGGTTAGGCCATCCTTTGGGTGTGAAAAACTGAGCCCTGTTTAGGGTTAGAAATATATGGATTACAGAACATGTGAATCTGTGAGACAACTGGCATGTTCAGAGAGGGGATAGTTTGCGTGTAAGAATAAGTTAAAGCTGGTGGCCAATGCAGTACTCGGGTATGAGCAATGCTTGATGCTCTGTGTGTTTAGCATTGGTGGAGCTGTACCCCTGAAGCCATGAACACTTTGAGTTACTTACACCTGGGTAACCATGCAACACTTTTAAAACAGACAGTAGGAGTTGGTACATGGTCACATTAATATAAATAAATCAACTCCCAAAAACGAGAACCTATCCAGCGCGCAACATCAGTCAGAGTTAATTCTATAATTGTGCAGGTTCCAATAACTCGCCAGCAGTAGCCATGGACCATATACTTATTTCAGACTGGAAGAAACCGGTGCTAAATTTTCTGATGGCAGTACAAGGAGGATGCTCAAAAGGAATGCAAAGGGAGAATATCCCTTCAATAGATATGATTTTTCTGTGTCTTACTTTGCTGTTTATCTTTCCTCCAATCAATCTTCTTATCAGAGTCCTGGAATATAAAAAGTACAGATCACACAGGGCAAAGCAACCTCCTGACATGACTGGCTTTAACATGAGAAGAAGAAAAAAAAGGAAAAGTTGGAAGATCTATAAGATCAATATTGCAGTATAATGCCATAGCCTTTGCCATGGATGTACTAAAACTGCCACTGATCTCAGACATGGCATTACGTCGGAATTTCTAGGAGTTTATGTAATTTTACCATGGCTTTTACCACTCCACTAATGAATGCAAGTAACTTTGCCAGGCTAAAATTACTAAAGTCTTAACGGATTCCATAAGATTGATGTGCATTTTGGGTTATACCCAAATGAGTTGATACTTATTTCTGGATACAGCTGTCATTGAGACTTCCTGTAACACACTTCTCCTGCACCTGGCTCTAGTAAGCCTAACTATACAACAGGGAAATCTCTCAATTGTATTCACTGTATTTGACTGTATCCTAAACTATATCATCTATGAGATCATGGTATTTTAATACAAACCCAAGCTAATTTATGAAAGATAGATAAAATCTGATACTTGTTTAATTCTGAGCTGTCAGAATTTAATTTTATTAATGCTATCTGCCCGTGTTGCTGGTCAGTATGCTGGTTACTATGCATACCAGCTTCATTTTGACATACAGTATAATAGCCATAATGCAGATGTAGGGAGGTTGGCAAGCCTCCATTTGAGGGTATTCTCCCAGAGCCTCATGCTAGTCTTCAGGACAGATTGTGATACATAGAATGCATTCCTACCGCACTGTGAAAGTAATACAGTAATTTATTAGACTACAAACTCCTTACAGATCAATAATAAGTAGCCTAAACTACACATTTATAGAACATCACGTTATGGTATTGCTTTCTATATAATTACAATATATCTGATCAGTCTCACATGATGCCATTGGTGATTTTATTCTCTCATTATTTTGACTCTGTCTATTGAGGTTTACGTTTTACACAGAATTTAGGGAGAAACATTCAATATTTGCCAAGTGTTTAGTTTTAACGTTTATTTAATAATTCGATCAGAGGCTAAATTAGTCACAAACTGCGTTTATAGTCAGATACCCCGGTCATTATTAATTGGTTTGCGTTAATTAATCGATACCCCCTTTCCCAGGGCATTAATGACAGGGTGACACCGGTAACTAGGTCTTACATGCTCCAGTCTGGGTCGCTTCTCCGCCATGTTTTTAACCACGTGGTGCTGGTTGTACTTCCGGCTTGGTACGCTTCCCCTAGCAACTGACATGATTGGCCAGGTAGAACCACGATGAATTTTTTTTCCCTTCAACAAGCTTTATTCATACAGCATAAACACACAAGGCACTTGCCACCCAACCCTGACCTGTTCTGTACTATAATATATTATCAGGGTTGATTAAATCCCTTGATACGCTTTAGTATTTTTGTTATATTTTATTTTGTTACCATAAGTTCTATGTGTTGGGTATTAGTTAACCCCTTAAGGACCAAACTTCTGGAATAAAAGGGAATCATGACATGTCACACATGTCATGTGTCCTTAAAGGACCACTATAGGCACCCAGACCACTTCAGCTTAATGAAGTGGTCTGGGTGCCAGGTCCAGCTAGGGTTAACCCCCTTTTTTTTTTTTTTTTTTTATAAACATAGCAGTTTCAGGGTAACTGCTATGTTTATAAATAGGTTAATCCAGCCTCCAAATCCTCTAGTGGCTGTCTCATTGACAGCCGCTAGAGGCGTGTGCTTCTCACTGTGAAAATCACAGTGAGAAGACGCAAGCATCCATAGGAAAGCATTATGAATGCTTTCCTACGAGACTGGCTGAATGCGCACGCAGCTCCTGCTGTGCATTCAGTCGAAGAGGAGGAGAGCTCCCTGCCCGGCGCTGGAGAAAGAGTTAAGTTTAACCCCTTCCTCTCCCCAGAGCCCAGCGGGAGGGGGACCCTGAGGGTGGGGGGACCCTGAGGGTGGGGGCACCCACAGGGCAGTGGCGGATCCAGGGGGGGGGAAATCCGCCGGTCTCCCTCCCCTGTCAGCACATGCAGGTGCTAGCCCTGCAATGTGCCTGCGGACCGGAGGGGAGATCAGAGATCTCCCTCCCCGGTCCGCAGGCACTGTGCTGGCGGCCGGCGGCGGAGGGAGTGAGTGAAAGAGGACCCGGAGCTCAGTCTGCAGCTCCTCCGGTCCTCCTCTCGTGAGATTTGGAGCGTTGCCGCGGTTACCACGGCAACGCTCCAAATCTCGCGAGAGTGAACTCTAGCCCTGGAGCGTGGGCTAGAGTTCACTCTCCACACTGGGACCACCAATGAATCACCACTGGGACCACCAGGGATCGAAATATGTCCCCCCTCCTCCCCAGTAAAGGTAAGAAGGGAGGGGGGACATAGGATATTTATTTATTTTAATTAAATTAAAATATATATATATATAATAAAAAAAAAGCCACACACACATACATTGCCCCCAATACACACAAACTGCCCCCCCATTCACACAAACTGCCCCCTATACACACAAACTGCCCCCCATACACACAAACTGCCCCCAATACACACAAACTGCCCCCCAATTCACACAAACTGCCCCCTATACACACAAACTGCCCCATTCACAAACTGCCCATTATACACAACACAAACCCCCCCCATACACAAACACTGCCCCCCATACACATACTGCCCCCATACACACAAACTGCCCCCCCATACACACACACTGCCCCCCATACACACACATACTGTCCCACACATACACTGCATCCCTGACACATTGCACCACTCACACACACCACTGCTCCTAAGCCCTACTACAGCCCCATTTCCCAGCAGATCTCCCAGCAGGTAAGTTGACAAACTGTTCTTAAACGGTTTGACTACTTACTGTGGGAGGGGGTCCCGGCACTATTGACACCATAACCACTACACTGAGCTGTAGTGGTTATTGTGTCTGGATTATTTCTTTAAATAATCTACAAGTGCCCCTCCCGAGATCAGGCTCTGGATCCGCCACTGCCTCAGGGCACTATAGTGCCAGGAAAACAAGTGTTTTCCTGGCACTATAGTGGTCCTTTAAGGGGTTAAATGGTGACACTCTCCCACTGCCTACTTTGCAGGTACATTACATGTGTGCATGGATAGTTTGGCTTATGAAGGGGCTGGTTGTTATCTGCAACCTACTTAATTATGTGAAATCATTTTAATTGAAGATCTGGTCATGTGATATAAGAATATTCACACTGATTAGGGGTTCTGGCCTTTTATTGCCAAATTATTTATCTAGAGCTCTGTTATTTTGAAGACTGATCCGGAAGTATGTGTGATCTTATTAATTGCAGATACTATTTTAAAAAAAATCAGATCCTGATTTAAACAAAGGATTAAATAATATTTTAACACAATGGTTAGCCTGTGGGATTGGTTTACCTCTTTATTTCCTAAACAGGTTTGTGTTATATTTTCCATGATAAAAGAGGCACTGTAAATGTCTCAAAAAGAACAAATGCTGTGCAACGCTTTGAGTGGTGCTGTATTCATTTAAGAGTGCAGTACCATTCGAAATCTCATCAATGGACTTAGAGCGCACCTGAACATGTTAGGAGTACACAACTACTACCACATGCTCTATGGAAGTGATGCAATGATTAAAGCCATTATAACATGCAATTTCATGCAATATTGATTGGAGAGCAGGCTTAAATCGATATGATGTTGAACATTTTAAAATTGTCGTTTACAAGTGAATACCAAGTACACACACTAATGGCATTTATTTGATTCCAGATGTGTGAGGTTCCAAATAATCTGTTGGTAAAAAATGGCAATTATTGTTCTAATGTGTGTGCTCCTAGGCCAGGCTTTCTAGAACTCTTTTTTCCCCATTTATCTGTCCAAAAAGAGCAAACCGTCTGACCTTTGGCCCTCTATCAGTTTTTGAATGAGGTACACATCATTGGTCTAAATCAGTGGTTCCCAACCCTGTCCTCAAGTACCCCATAACAGTCCAGGATTTAAGGATTACTACATTTTAGGGAAAAACAAAAACACTTTAGACACTACAGGGTGATTCCTAAATCCTGGACTAGTAGGGGGTACTTGAGGACTGGGTTGGGAACCCCTGGTCTAAATCATGAAATTTAAAAGACAAACAAAACAAAACTCACACGTGGAAGAACCTATTTAGTTTCTTATATTGACAATGAAAACACCGTCCATCCTTGAGATTTAAGTGGTGCATCATAGACATGCGCATGGGGTGTGCCTGGGCACACCCTAGACCCCGCGTCACGTGCTATGTGCCTCCCTCCGTGGGCAGGTGAGGGAGATCAAATATCTCCCTCACCAACCCACAGGCAGGGAGGGAGGCAGGAGAGGACCCGGGGAGCTCTTGCCAGCAGCTCCGCTGGGTTCCTCTCGTGCGGTCGGAGCGTTACCGCCGGTTACCGTGGCAACGCTCAGATCTCGCGAGAGTGAACTCTAGCCCCAAATGGGGCTAGAGTTCACTCTCCACTGGACCACGAGGGATGGCAGCAGCACGGTCCCCCCTCCCTATAGAAGGTAAGAAGGGAGGGGGGATATTAACTAAACGGCCCCCACACATTACACACTAACAGCACACACACATACATCACCCTTACACACACACACTAACAGCACCCTTACACACACAGCACCCTCACACATACACACACACAGCACACACTAACAGCACCCTTATACACACACAGCACACACTAACAACACCCTTACACACACACACTAACAGCACCCTCACACTAACACCCTTACACACAGCACCCTCACACATACACATACACACAGCACCCTCACACACACACAAAGCACACACTAACAGCACCCTTACACATACACACACACCACACACTAACAGCACCCTTACACACAGCACCTTCACACACACAGCGCCTGCACACAGCAGAGTGTGTGTGTGTGTGTATGTATGTGTATATATATTTATATATATATATATATACACGGCGTGTGTGTTTCTGCTTTAGGGTGCACACCCTTATACAATAGGCTGCGCACGCCTATGTGGTGCATATACTTTGTCAGCTCTAAGAGATAACAGTGTACTGCTGGTCATTGCATGTACGTGATTATATAAGACCCACCCAGAGCATGCAGCATATGGTCAATTCTTGTATAAAAATTGCTTTATATGGAGCGTATAAAGATGGCAGATTTTAATTTTTTTTTATTGCAAATTAAAGACTTCAGTATGCTGATAATCCTTTCAGGGACATGCTAATCCTTCTAAAATGTGGCATAGTTTCCTAGTTCCTAGAGTGCAAGGCTGCAATCTACTGCAGCTTACAGGGACAGCAGACAGACATCATTGTAAACAGATGGAATATATTGCAAGTCCTTGCAGTTAAAGGGGTGTGTACACTACTGGTCCTTGATGTCCTATGGTGCAGTATACACAAACACACTGTAGGCAAGAAAGTTTAAAAAAAATCAAGTGTTATGGGCAAAATAGAACAACCACATACAGTTGCCTAGCAGCACAGTCCTAACAAATTGAAGATTACGCCACAACTAAGAGTGCTATTTGGGATATTGTCCATTTAAACACGCGCGCAATAAGGACAGTCCTCGACGTTAATGATTTTGCACATCGGATTCTTTGCTCCAGTTCAGCAGTATCTTCTCTGCAGCGGCTAAGGTCGTATCCTCCTAAAGACACAAAATAACACAACATAGTTAATAGAAATGTTACTGGTATTTTAGAACAGGTTGTATCAAAATAAGATCCAAACCCTCTCTAGTCTAACGCAGACATTACGAAGAGAAAATAAGCCTAGAATTAATTTGTTTCCAATTATGAGCATTTAGGAATACTTTAAAGGGACACTCGAGGCACCCAGACCACTTCTGCCCATTGGAGTGGTCTGGGTGCCAACTCCCACTACCCTTAACCATACAAGTGTAATTATTGCAGTTTTTATCACGCCATGTGAGGACCTCCAGCGTCGCCGGAATCCCCATAGGAAAGCATTGAATAATACTTTCCTATGGGGAGGTCTAATGCGCGTTTGTGGACATTGCCGCACATGCGCATTAGGTCTCCCCCGCCAGCTGGGGAGGAGAGTAGGCAGAGCCTGACCCAGCACCAAGGGATATCGGCGCTGGACTCCGGTAAGTCACTGAAGGGGTTTTAACCCCTTCAGCAACTTGGGACAGGGGATGGGAGGGAGAGGGGCACTATAGGGTCCTGCAGTGCTAGGAAAACCATTATGTTTTCCTGGCACTGGAGAGTCCCTTTAATGAAAGTTATCTTTTAAAATATGTATGAATGTAATTTTAACTGACAGCATTCTAGCTTTTATTCCTGGTGCCTTTTAGATTTGTCTAGCCTTGATAAAGGCTCAGAGAGGAGCCAAAACATTGCCTCCACTTCCTTGTTTTAAATAAAGACTGCCTTTTAGAAGAAACCTCAGGTGCATGGCATTAAGAGATCTCCACTTGACATTAAAAGTACTACTACGTAAAGTGACTATTCAAAGTGAATTTCAGATTTAAAGGGACACTGTAGGCACCTAGACCACTTTAGCTTAATGAAATGGTCTGGGTGCAGTGTCCCATGTCCCTTAACCCTACAGTGGTAATTATTGCAGAAACTGCAATAATTACATTGCGGCTTAACTCCTCCTCAGTTAAACTAATCTCACTCCAGTTACTTAATTTCAAAACTAAGCTATTGGGTCCAATCAACAATTCTTTCTGATAATCCAACTGCATCAATGTAGGTAATGAAGCAATTCTTACTAGCTCCAACTGTCTTCTGTCCCAAACCCTTAAGTGTTTTTACCTTTACAAAACAAAACCTGATGAAGTTCTCAAACAGCTTCTTATGGGGGGCACTGAAGAAGGCCGAAATTGGTATTGCTGCTAATTGCTGCAATAAAATGAGAGAAAAAGTCTGTTACTGAGGATCAAACTAGAAGCAAATGCATTTATAAGGCATACTTCTGCAATGAACATTAAACAATAGATTCACACCTTTTATACTTTAGTTGGTTTTTTTTCACCCCTTTTTAAAAAGGAGCTACCATTTTTAGTAAACATTACCTTTAATTGGGGGTGAGGAGTGCAGCACAGATAAATGTATTTATACATCTTTATATCAGTTTTGAATTTTGGTATTTCAGTGTCTGCTTACAATGGGCTCAGGCATTCCTTGTACATGAGCACAGATATCCTGAGAGTGCCTGTACATATGGCACCGTGTGCAACAAGCACATCTGCATTGTATGCCAGGCTGTGCCTTGACAGTTCGTTCATCTGTTTATTTAAAATCAATAAATAAACTGCAAAAAGATTTCTGAGCTATCACACAATGTTGTATTGCAGTCAGGCCACTGAAACGCTGTGATAAAATAAAACAGATCTGTATTGAAAAAAGTATATTGATATTACCTTATTCTTCATCATCCACTTCACAAAATGGTGATCATAGGGTATATTGGGATCGGAAGGAGGCGGCACCTGGGATTCTGAAAAATTATCCAATTTCTAGATCAGAGATAGGAAATCTTTTGGTAGCACAGTGCAAAAGAAAAAACAAACCTTAAGGGGTTATGCATGAATATGTGGCCATTTTGTGGAATCTGAATGTAGACTGCCTGATGTGTGAAGAATGTTGTCTTGTGGGTGCGTGTGCTGTACGTAATAAGTGTGTATGTGAGTTGTTTGTAGTATTTATGGGTGGTGGAGGGTTATCTGTGGTGTTGTGCAAGTACGCTATTTGTGCCAAAGGTGTGCATATAGGTTGCTGGTAGTATTTGGGAGTGTGGCAGGTGTTGTCTGTGAGCGTTGGGTACTTTTGATATGTGTATATATGGGCGCTCACTTGTGTTGTGTAAGTATGGGCTGTCTTTAGTATTGTGTATGTATGGGCTGTCTTTAGTATTGTGTGCGTGGCTAGTGTTTAAAGGGGTTTTGTGGAGGGCTCTTTACTAGAATAAACATGTCATTTTTGTTATTTACCTTTGGCTAGAGAGAGGGCAGGAATCATCATTAATCCCTGAATGTCCAGTGGTGGATATTGCAGAGCAGTGCTCTGAATCACAGGGAGGCACTGGAACATGAGTTCCATGTGATGTCTGCACCCGCTGGAGGTGCAGACTGCAGTTTTCCCTTGCACTCGGGCACTGAGGCACTCTGGCTTGGCTGGATAGATTCCCTGATCACCCTGTTTTGGTCTGGCAGCCTCAGGTCTGGCATGTGTGACATAAGGTTCCGACCACTGCTCTAGTTGTAGTAATTTAACTTTTTTTTAAAAATGTTTATATATATAACACTTTGTGTATATAAAATTTTGGAGTTATGAAAAGTCATAATTTACAGTCCACTCTTCCTTATGTCTTCTTGTGCCTAACCATTTACTCACCATGCCTTAGCTCATGCATGTTTTTCAATCTCTTCCTTCTGAAGTTACCAGGCCATCAGAGGGTGAAATAATTAAAGGGGGTTGGGAAGCATGATTTAATTTAGGTCAAAATGACTGTACCCAATACAATTTAGCCTGTGGGGAAGCATTAGGTGAACTTGCTTTTTGCAAACACATGTGTTGGGCAAAATGTAAACTAATCCAAAAGAAAAACACAAACAAAAATAATTAAATATATATATATATATATATATATATATACTAAAAAATGGAACACAACAAAATAGCAAACAGATTCACAACATTCCTATCATTACAAAGTGTAAAAAAAAAAGAAATACAAATGTGACTAGTGGTCCAGCAGGTGGCGCTCTATCCCAATCAAAAGACTCCCATTAGTCTTTCTACAGACCAGACAAGTGTGGAATGGGTTATGGAATAGTCTTCAGAAATACCATAAATAGGGTTATCGCTTTCTTTTCTTATCTCAAATGACTTCTAATTTCTTTATATTGTATTGTCAATTTCTGAATTTCAATAGGAACAAATTTGGGGTAAAATAAGTTATTGTGAAAGTTCTTTTTATATCAGATCACACATTACTATTTATTGCAGAGGAACTTTTTTTGACTAAAGAGAGAGGCTTATTCACTAAACCGTTGAAAGAAATTGATACATAAGATGCTGAATTATTGTATAACTTTCTGTTTATGTGAATGGTTTCCCAGCTTGGGATCATCTACTTGATAACAATGTGCTCATTTTCAAAGTTTTCAGTTGCATTTTACAACACCCGTGTAACAACCAATAGATTACGTCCCTCCAGCACAGATCCCACCAATCAGTTTTCAATGCATGTCTTCAGGAGTTCAAAATGTCAGAGTAACTAAGAATGCAAGTATTTGTTTTCCAAAACCATTCTGGTCTCCAAAGATGAGAAATACTCAACCAACCCAAGAAGCCACCTTAACTGGTCACTTCACTTCTTCTTATGTTCTAGTATAGTGTGGGTGAGGGGGAGGAAATCGAATGGTAAATTATGTATCAAATACACTCAAATACACACTGACCACGGATCAGGTTTTAAGGGGTCAGCTCTCGTGAGGAACTGCTAACAGACCCAGAGAGACTTTTCCTCTGGTCATGTAAGTGAAGGTAGCTATGTATCCAGCATGGAGGACAGAGGGAACCAAGCCATACATACGTATTACTCATGAAATTTTAAAGTATTGTATTATATTGTGCTCAATGCCTATGGATTAATACAATGGTTTTATGTTTACACTTATGACAAAACTAACAGTAGCTAAATTTAACAACCAGTATCAATATAGATACATTATTGTCACATACATTTGTCCACATTCCCTAAAGAATTACCTTGTAAGAGGGTCATCATTTCTTACACTGTGAACTGACAGACATTCTTAGCTCACTTATCTTGCCTACAGAATCATGGAGTCATCCCATGGTTTGATGTCAATCCATTTAGGAATGGTTTGGCATAAACTGGGGTTTTCTCTGGTGATGA